GCGTGTCGGCTTTATTGTTAAATTGATACTTTACCTGATTATTATATTTCTTTAGATATAATTCTTTGGTAAATTAAGTTGCCATACATTTTTATACCACACTACAGATTTAAACTTTTTTGAACTTAAATATTATTTAAATAAGTAAGACTTTTACAATTTAAGATTTTTCTTCATACTGTATCTCCGGGGAAAGAGTCCTAACCTGCTAGGTGATTAAGGTTCGAGTCCCGCGTCGCCATTTCGATCGAGTGCTGCTCTCGACTCGCACCGACCTCGTAGCTATTTAATCGAGTTTTTTGTTCAAATAACAGGTTTTGTTTCCTGAAGTAAGGCAATTTGTTTATTAAAATATCCGTATTTATTTGCTTAAAAAATAGGCGTTTTTAAATAATAGTATTTTTCTGTGAAATAAGCGGTTTTGAACTGGTACACCAGATGCGAGTTCTTTTCCAGTAAATTAAACAGTTACTTTTTACAGTACATAATTCTACATTTTTTTTAATTCAGAGTTTTTTCGCAAAATAAGCTATTAAAATTGTGTAGTTATCTAATCTATTACATGATTCCTTACATCAAGGTGATAATCAAAACAAACTTTATTATTAGCTAAATTTTGTTGTCAAGTTGACAAAGTCAGCACTATCAAACATAGCGCTTATTTATTAAACCCCCGTGACTACTACACATGGCGTCTGCTAAACTTTGATCAAAAGTAAAATTCTTAGATGAATGAATGTTTAATAAAAATAAATGAATATCTAAAGGTTAAGAGCATCCTGTCTTTCTTAATCTAATCGTGCTGTATTGTTTGTTGTTTATTAAGTAACTCAAATCATAATAATATCTCTCTCTACAGGATTCAACCGCCTCGAACACGTTTTTCAATCTCATTGAGAAGATTTTTTTCCTTATCAAAATATTTTTAAAAAATTTTCCAACATTTTAATTTTACTTCTTTCATCTTATTTGGGAAGTGATTTTTTTTTAACATTGATTAGAAGGTGGGGACACCTACTTGATACTGACGCCAACCCCACAAATCTGCTTTTACTGCTTCTTATACTCATGGGAGACTAACAAATTTTAGTCTAGATTTGTATTAATAGCAATACTCTTTTTAAAATAAAGCTAAAAAAATACGATATCTATGCATCCTGTAAAACATACAATTTATTCAATTTTTTTACATTGAAATTTGATTTACGGACATCCTGCTTAGGACGAATAATTCATTCACACAGAAAAAAAAATTTCTTTCTTTTTTCGTCTTAGAACAGTCGATCCATCCTTATGTTTACGCTTACCAATGTTCAACTCTACAGTCTTGTAATTTTAAGCCTAATTCAGAAGACAAGGGTACTCCTAGATCAAGCATAGGGAGAAATTTGCCTCCATGGAGGAGTTTTTTATGGAACTAACACGCATTTGCGTCACGTGGAAAGGAAAACCACGTAAACCTACCACACTTAGCCTGACGGCAAGGGGACTGTAACCAATTATTCGTCTACCACTAAGGATATTTTAGGTCAGCACTGAGGCCAGTGCTATCCAGGTGCGGAATTCGTATCGACCAACCATCGCTGAGATTCGAACCCGTTTCACCTCATTGGGAGGCGAATGCTCTATCCCCTGATATAACCGCAACTCAGAAAAAAGTATTATCAAAACTATTGATAATTAGCAAAATCTTCTGCCTTTCTTACTCCTTGGGAATAGTAAAAAACGCGGTAATTTTTACTGAAATGTTTCAGCAGTGATTTTTGTAAAATTAACTCTAAAATATAGTTTTAATAACTGTTAAAATTTCGTAAATGTGATAAAATTTTATAATTTATAGCATGGCAGAAAAAGCATTTATTCGCTTAAATTTACTTTTCATTTTTGCATTTTTATTATTTTTATTAAAAATGTGGTAATAAGAACTATTATTTTGAAACTCAAAGTTTTTGTTAAAAACATTACCATATGAACAAAAAATCTACCAAATAAATTATTTAAATAACATATGTTTTGGTTTCATCATAAGAACTAACCTACCAGAAATCTCTTTACCATACAGAACGGTAATTCAGTCCTTTTATTCATCGTTCTAAAGTACGGTATTTGGTGACTTTAAAGTCCTTTGTTCTAACCTGATTTTTTATATTATATGAAACAAAAGAATAAGGTGGAGATTGAAAAGAAAAACGTTATAACACAGTAAGTGAAAAAATGAAAATAGTATTCCTAAGTTAAAACAAACATTTAGGTTTGATCGATGTGCAACGTCTTTCAACGTAAGTTGAACGCAACACTTAATAAGTTTTATCCAGTAATCCTGTAATGCGAATAGTCCAAATATTTACTTTTTACTTAATACCTTTTCAAGTTTGATAACATAGAAATTGCCCTAAAGATATAATGAAGTCTGACAAAGACTCTGAAATCACTTAAGCAAATCACTGTAAAGCAAATATGAGCCCGTTTCATTATGAAGTAAGTCACGAGAAATTTTTTGGCCGAGTGCATTTTGCTTAATATAATCCTTTCCTAGAATAATTTTTAATTAAAAAATTATAAATTTTCGTATTTAAGATTCTTCGGTTCTTAGCTAATCAAAAATAAGACATAAAAATTTTAACATTAGTTACCTATAATGAAATATAATTATCTCTCCGAATTCGATATTAAACAACCCTAAAAGTTGTGTGAAGGGACACTTTTTTTGAAGTTATCACTAAATCGAGCGTTCATACACAGTTTAAAGGGTCTATGAACGCTCAAAACACAAAACATACAAGAAGTTTACATCGAGATCACTCGCATCCGCACCATACGTTAAACAGTTTTGCTTTCGAAAACTCCAATCTTGGCGAATTTTGATTTCATCTGGAACAATCGATAATGAGTTGGCGAGTATTTTCGACTGTTGCCAATATTGCTTTTCATCTGTAGAAACTTAAGTACTCCGCTAAAAAAATTGCATATATGTTTTTAGTTGTGTTATAAAAATATGAATATTTTAATTTTCAAGTCTGTAAATTATATTAAATAATTTTATAATGTATAATTTCTATACGCTCCTACTCTGTCAAGCCTATGTCAAATTCATTTTAATATCACTTTAATGTTCTCTCTTCTACGCGTATGTTTGATTTACAATCTCATTTTATTTTAAGATAGGTAGGTATTTTATTTACGTCTCACTAGAGCTGCCCAATGGGCTATTGGCGACGATCTGAGAAATATCTCTGAGGATGCTCCGAAGACATGCCATCACAATTTTGATACTCTGCAGTAGGAATGGCACCTCCGCTTTGGTAGTCCAACAATGTGCGTGCGCAGTCGAGCACTTTACGGTTCAACAGTTTAACGAGGACCGATACCGAGCAGCCTCGGTTCTTACGTTGGCTGATCAAAGTGGTCACTCCCCCTTGCTTAGTGATGTTTAAATTCGGTGTTCTACTGGGAACCGCGTCTTAACGATCAATCCACTGAGGGACCATTTTATTTTACTAATTAGTGTATGTATGCAACCTAAATTTCTTATTTTTATTTTATATTGTCTCATATAAAAAAATTTACTGATTCTTATGTGCATCATATCTTACTGTAATTATAAATTTTGGTGTTACTAAATAACAAACATGGCGGATGGAGGCGGATACTTCATACCAAGTTGTGTAAAAGAACATTCTAGGTATTTCACAGCACCAGAAATATTCTTGGATTTTGGTGCAGTTAAATACTTAGTTGAATTCCACTTTGGTGTGAAGTAATTGCCATCATTTTTGGTAATTTTGTGATCACTTAAAAGGCAATTATAAATTATTTACAAGAGTAATTTATATTAAAAACTAATAAAAATTACTTAAAAACTAATAAAAATTATTTAAAAAATAATTCGAAATAATATCGATATCAATAAGAAACAGAGTAATTAACACAGTTTTTTGTAGCTTGTTTCTGGTATAGTTAAATATTCTTGGGTTCTGGTGCAGTTAAGCACTTAGTTGAACACCACTTTGGTGTGAAGTAAGTGTCACCATTTTTGGTGATTTTGTAATCACTTAAAGGGCAATAGAAATTATTTACAAACTACTAAATTATGACTATTTTATTTAGAGAAAAATTTATTTTAAAAACTAATGAAAAATTGTTTAAAAAATAACTCTAAATAGTATCGATATCAATACGAAACATAGTAATTAATATAGTTTTATGTAGCTATAAAAAGCTATCTTTTTGAATCAATGTCGATTTTAAAGATCGTGCTTTATTGTTCATGGGGTTTAAAATCCCGGATTCAGAGGTAAAAACATTCAAAAGTCATGCATCCTCTATGTGGATCTGTTGCTATAGCTGAAAAAATAAATAAATAAACTTGCTTTAATTACTTTTACTAGGAAGATTAGTTTAAATAGAAAACACTTGAAGTTTTGATGCAAATAGATAAAAAGCATTAAATTGAGAATATTACATTTGGATTTAAAACCAATGAAAACCGTTTAAAAATAATTCAAAATGCAGAGATATGAAATATCCTGTTATGCATAATAATTATGCAATATTTTATAAGTATAAAATAACCTATCTGAAATATAAAGCTCTTATGTAGAACGCACTGATAATTTCGAATGCTTCAAACATCGTTAAGTAATCATGTAAGTGTTTTAAAACATAAATACTGGGAAATGAAACAAAGTTTAGTTACACTAGTAATAAAGAAAAGACAACTTTTATCTTAGTCGAAAAAGCAACCAATAGAAGAAACAAATGATAGTCTCATTTGAAGCCCCGCCCATTTTACACAGTAGGGAAATATTATAGGGATAAAAATTCCCCTCATAAAAGCGGGATTTTACGCTTTTGGTAATATTGAAGTTTGATTCTTTATCATTAAATGACATTGATAACTATAAAGAGAAAAAAAAAATTAGATAACAATTTTTTTTTTCATTTATTTGTTACTAAAATATCGTTATTAATGGGGAAATTTCCCCCTAACTATCTATAAATTTCATTTACAAAAAATACACATATATAAAAGCTAGACTACCGGTAAAAATTTAATCTTTTAAGTTCTAACCAGAATTCCTTAAAGATTTTAATATTTGGCAATGAAGGAAAAGTTGGGAGTAATGTTGGATAAACTAAAATCAGATCTTAACTTGAATGGGTCGATTAATAAGCCACTTCCCGATAAAGTTGAATCAAGATGCCCTTTTATTCAAAGTGAATCGGAGGTTAAATTGACCAATTTTGTAACTGGTAAAAAAATTTCTGATTCCCTTCATACTCGCTCGAAGGTAAGTTAAAATTTTATTTGTTTGTTGATGCATTTTTTTTAAAGACAAAGTTCATTTTCTTTAATGTAAACAAGGAATATTCTTTCAAAAGACTAATTTCCTATTATTTTAAAGAACATTTAAGTAAAAAATTTGTATAAAAAAATTATGAAAGTAATATAATTTTATAAAAGAAAATTTTATAATCTGAACGATTTATTGTAAAATCATACGCTGATGAACAAATTCTGGTAAAATTACCTTAATCGTTTGACGCAAAATTTTTATTAAACGTGGTTTTCAAAAACTTTTCATTATTTTTCATTAATTTAGGTCAAAATAAGTAAAAAATATTTAAGATTTTAATAATTTATGATTACGAAACATAGCGTGAAACACTATGTTTCGTATGCCTTTTTCTGCGTTAAATCTAAAATCTTTCAAACACGGTTCATTTCCAAATTATACATTTTCAACTTTGCACTTGCTATTATTTAGATTGAAGAGAAACAGATGTTCATCATTTAAAATTTTTAATTTATGAAATTAATTACTGGTAAATGTTTGAATATGAATGAAACAAAAATCAAAATTGTTTTTAATATTATATTATAGTACAAATATAATTCCGATAAATAATCTAACAGATATTTCTAGTAAATAAAAGCTGTTTTTTATAATTAAAAAATACCAAAATATATTTTTGCTTGTAGTTAGAATATCAGAAAATAATGATATCAGAATATAATATAATATAATATAATATAATATATATATATATATTGTCTGATGTGTATTTTATGTATTTTATGTTTGTACTGTTTTCTGGATTTTTTTATTTTAATAAACATTTACCCGNTGGACACCGGTGTCACTTCTGCGTCAAAGGATCTTTTTGTAGTTTTTTCGTTCAAGGGTACGGTTTCACCGGAAATTCTAGTTTTCAAAATTCTAGTTTTTATTACCACACATTTAGAAAAAAATACAAAATTGCAAAGTTAATTTAAACGAATAAAAGGTTCGTATGCCCAAATACATCATAATAAAATTACCAAATCTACCAAATTTTAGCAATTATTCTGAAATTTATATATTTTATTGTACATTACAATCGAGTAATAATTTATATATTAATTTTATATTTTACTGTTAATTTTAACAAAATTATTACCAAAGTCGTTTTGGTAAAACTTACCGTGCGTTTTGGTGTTCTTTATAGAGACAGAAACACGGTAAATTTTACAGCGTTTTAATTTTACCGAGTATTTACCGGTAAATTTTACCGTATGTCTGGAAGTTTTAACGATACTTTTTTCTCAACAGGTATTTACTGAAAAGGAGTCGCGACTTTTATTTTATTATAAAATTCATTTTTGAATCAGAAAAATAACACAATACATGATTGTTCGCAAGAAAGTAGGAATTTCTTTCTCTCCAGTATAATGAATTGCGAAATAATGTATTATTGTTAGATTTCTGAAAAGATTTGCATTAAAATTTACCTTGTTGCTGAATAACTGCAATTTGTTAAAATACAGTAACATTATCACGTTTTTATTATCGAAATACACAACTGTCAAGACTATAGGACCTTGAATGACTGCATCTATTAGACTAAAATGACTCAGGAAAGACATATATATTAGAACCATTTTATGTTAATGAAAAATACAAAATATGGTTATATATGTTGGATTAGGCAATATTTTAGCTCATTTGCATAATTACATCACTAAACAATATTAATTATTATAATATATGCCTCCCGAAACAAAATTTACGGTTTGCCAAATTTACACAACTGTTGTTCTATGTGATTAAGGATTTTTACAAAAAGTCACAAATATTTAACCCTTTGTCCCAACAAATGTTTAAGAATTACTAATGGACATATGTATCCCAAAATTAAGTACGGTCGGGACTTATATGTCCCAGCCTCAAAATTGATCACTGCTTGTCAGAAAAATCCCTAATATGTACTAAATTTGCCTTATTTGTGACCTATTTTGTCCTTTTGAATAATAAACTGGACAAAAAAAATCATTTTTTAAAATTCGTAGTCAAAGGGTTAAGATCAATAATTTATGCTCAAAGTGTATCGATACATTCGTTACCAAAAAACCATAACATTCCCTCCTATTTGAATGAAAACTGTGAAAATCAGTGAACAAAAAATTAAAATATTGAATTTTTATGACCCTTTTTAATAATTTTCTATTTTTGTTGTTCAGAACAAATACGTTAATATATTTGTAGGAAAATCATAACCTGACAAATTTTGAAATTATTTCTTAATCATTTATATTACCAACAAAAGAAACAATTAATCTCTGCTTCAAGATTCAGTTATGTATTATTTGCAATTAGTTTTGCATTAATTATGCATTTATTTAACATTATCTACGTAATAAGTTTTGCATTAATTATGCATATATTTAACATTATCAACGTAATAAGTTTTGCATCAATTATGCATTTATTTAACATTATCCACATAATAAGTTTTGTATTTTTATTGAACATGTTGTGATAACTTGTTGATAACTTTCCTTGAAGTGATCAGTGCAAAACATATCGATTTAAAGCAAAAATTAAAATTTAAAATTTTCATCAATAACTCTTTTAATTTTTAGTTCTCCTTGTGGCAATATTTAAAATACAGATAATGCATTTTATTTAAATTGTTTGCATTTTAAATTTTTTATAACTTTATTTTAACTTGCGTTAAAGTATTCCTTACCAATTGGAAAAAGTTGTGCGCTTTAGTACATTGTACACTTTTCAAAAAAATTCAGTGAGCTCTTAAAAACACATGTTTCAGTTTTCTTAAGGCAAGATTAGCATATCTCTAATCGTGTTATTTATCATTTAAATATCGAACAATATGTGTTACATGAAACGTAAGTCTTTATTATGTGCATTGTTACAAATTGTTCATTTAAGTTATCAGTTACTTTTTCCGTTTTTGATTATAGTAAGTGGTTTTTATCAAGCTATCTTGTAAAAAACATGTAATTTGAAATCGAATGTGATTTTTATCTTTTACGAGAGTAGTTCTACAGAACTGACTAATGTTTTTGTTTCTTTGTTAAAGATATTCAATACTAAAGTTCATAAAACAGGGAAACTTTGCATTGATATTTGTCAGAAATATGTTAAAATTAGCTATCAAATATATCTGTAGAGCTATTTAAAAAGCATTTTAATGTGTAGTATTGAATTCAAAAACGGAAAATAGTATGACTGATTAAAAAAAACGATTTGGAAACTGTTAATTGTCAAATTGTTTGCGAAAATTAATTTCTTTCCTCATTTCAAAGATTTTTTTTATCAAAAATGACATACCATGTCATTTTAATGTTACAAATTATTTTACTTCAAAAATTAATAAGTTGTACAAAATTTGAGGACTTAATTTATCACGTAATAGGAAATATACTAAAAACTGGATTAATTTCTTTTCTCATCCTAAAGATTTTTTTATCAAAAATAACATATCATGTCAATTCTATGATACAGATTATTCGACATCAGAAATTTATAAGTAGTGCAAAATTTGAAAACTTAATTTATCATGTAATAGGAAATGTACTAAAAAATGAATTGGTTAATTAATTTCTTTTCTCATGTCAGAGATTTTTTTTATAAAAAATAACATACCATGTCTTTTTTAAGTTACAAATTATTCTACATCAAAAATTAATAAGTTGTACCAAATTTGAGGACTTAAGAACTTAATTTATCACATAATAGGAAATATACTAAAAACTAAATTAATTTCTTCTCTCATTTCAGAGATTTTTTTTAATCAAAAATAACATACAATGTCTTTTTTAAGTTACAAATTATTCTACATCAAAAATTATTAAGTTGTACAAAATTTGAGGACTTAATTTATTACGTAATAGGAAATATGCTAAAAACTAAGTTATTTTATATTTTAACTGTAGCCGAAAGTTTTCATTTGAAAACTATAAATGCATATTAGTTTAAAATGGATCTAATGTGTGTGTGTTTTTTTAGGAATTTAATTGTAATACAAATAAATGCGTTTAAATCATTATTCTTTTTTTTGTTTAAAACTGTTAAGTTGTTTTCGCATCAAACTGGTAAAAAAACTGATAGTTAATAAATATTAGGTGTAAATTCAAGGTATATGTTTCACGGGAAAATTACATTAAAACACAACGAATAAAATATAGATAATTCACTTGGCACAACTCTTGATGTTATAATCAATCTTTCCTTTGCGAATATTACCGTTCTATCACTACAAATTGCTATATACTACTAACAAGTTAAAATTTCTTTGCATTCAGAAAATTAAAACTTATTGACTTAAGAACAATAGTTATACTGAATAAACAGAGTTCCGTTATTTTTTTCCACTGAGTAAACTTTATCATAATTTATCTGAATTTAATAAAATCATAACCATGAAATAAATGAAATCAAAAACTGCGATATCTGAGCTGAAATAAAATCCTAATTTCAACAGTTATGAATGATTGCTTATTCTATAATAAACAAAATTAATTATAAGAATGCAAAATAACTAATTTTGTGAAAATTAAAAATATTAAACACTGTAAAATAATGCGTATTAGTACAAGAAAATCTCTAGAAAAATTGGATTCCATAATTTTTTCTTGTAGCATTACAACATCAAACTTAGTAAACTTGCTATGTTTAATGTTTACTACACTGTAAAAAAAATTCCGCAAACTTACGGTTGGTTGATGAGTTAATTGTGCAAAACTTTAAAATTTAAAAAGTAAATCAGTAGTCTCAATGGTTTTTTAGTACGCAAGAACAAGTTTTTTATTTCCGTAAAAATTACGAAAGAAATCCGTTATCAGACTAATTTTTACCATTATAAAACAAGTTTTTACAACAAAAATAAATATGTTGTTCAAGCAAACTCTTACCAGAAGGGACCAAGTTTTTTCAGTGAAAGCTACGATGTAATCTGTACTCGCTCCAGATGAGAATGTTTAATGTCGGCAGAATTTGTATCACCCAGTCATCGCTGGGATTCGAGCCTGAATCACTTAATCATAAGAAGCGTGCTCTGTCCCTTGAGCCAATGCAGCTCAAGTTTCTTCTGAAGAAGAAATTGTGATAATGAGAATTTCGCTTCGATATTATATTAATTTTACAATAAAATTTTTATTTATACGATGTTCAAAACCATAAATCTATAGCTAAAAAGTAAGAAAATAAGTATAGGAAATAAGTATAGAAAGTATAGAAAATAAAGAAAAGTAAGAAAATAAGTATAGAAAATAATCGTAAAATTATTGGAGTAAACGTAAAGTTATATAATGGAACCCAAAACTGCATGGCAATAACTCGAATTTCAAATGGCTGTCTTACTCCATTTGGGATTAACACTAGAAAGACTGAAATTTAGTACATACCTACATTGCTAAAAATGACTGGATTGTAAAAGAATAAATAATGTGTAAAAAAATTTGCTTAAAATTATTTTTTAATATTTTTTATATTATTTACAGTTATATAGCAAGTTATTAGTAAATATTAACAATAAAAAATTATATGTTGTACAAAATTCTAAGAATTTGTGTCATTATTTACATCATTGTTTTGAAATTAAAAGCAGTCAAAATGACTTCCTCACCCAATCTAGTGTTAAGATGATAAACGGAGAAGAAACGTTTTTTCAACAAAACTATTAAATATACGGAGAAATTCTGAAAAAACAGCGGATCAATGTAAATAATGCTACTAGAAGCGCTAATCGAATCCGAGTTTCTCGGAAATTTTCTGTCACTGCTACAGATGTTTTTTTATGGTATAGTAAATTATGATGAATTATATTATAATAATGAAATATTTTATAATATAGCCAATTACGTGCTCTTCATCATCATGCAAAGGAGCTTTGATGAGTGGGCAGTCTTCCGTAACAGTATGCGATTCCAAGAAAGACATCTTAAAAGAAGCTCTGCAGTTCCAAGAAGAATACTTCGCGTCTTTGAAAAAGTAAGAACTTAACTTCAGTCAAACTGTTTTGTCTGTTTTTATTGACATACACTATCTGGCCAAAAAAGTATCCGGACACCGAGTGGTATGGTAATGGACTTAAAGCTCCATGAGTCACATATTAATGTGATGTCAGTCACCCTTTTGCATCGATGATAGCCTGCACACGTCTTTGAAGACTTTCCGCCAGATTTTGATAGGTGGCCATAGGAATTGACTTCCAAACTTCCATCACAGCTGAAGTGAGTGCTTGCAGTGAGGATGGTCGATTTGGCTGGCTACGTAATCTGCTCTCTAATTCGTTCCAAAGATGTTCTATGGGATTTAGATCGGGTTTCTGAGAAAGCCAGTCCAGTTTTTGAACACCCATTTCGTCAAACCACGTCTGTGAGCCGCGATGGCTCAGGGGATAGAGCGTTCGCCTTCCAATGAGACGAACCGGGTTCGAATCCCAGTCGAAACAAATTCCGCATCCGGCTTACACCCACCACAGTGCTGACGTGAAATATCCTCAGTGGTAGACGGATTATGGGTAAAAGTCCCCTCGCCCTCAGGCTAACCGTGGGAGGTTCTCGTGGTCTTCCTCGCCATGTAACGCAAATGTGGGTTAGCTCCATCAAAAAGACCTCAACGAAGGCAAATTTCTCCCAATACTCGATTCAGGAGTTCCCTTGTCTTCTGGATTGGGTTCAAAATTACAAGGCTACGGAGTTGAACATTAGTAGTCGTAAACCCATAAAATTGGGTCTGTTGCTCAACGACGGTTATAAAATAAACCACGTCTGTGGAATCTTCGATGTGTGAATGGAGCAGTTATCCTTCTGGCATAGGAATAGGCCTTCTCCGAAATATTGCCGTAGAGTTGGGAGTGCAGCATTGTCCAGATTATCCACATACATATCAGAGTTCATGTCTCCACCCACAGGAACTAGTGGACACAGGTCAAACCACGAGAAACACCCCCACACCATTATACTTCCGACCCCATAACAACTGTGTGTCCGGATACTTTTGGCCGGATAGTGTAGCGTAGAAGTATTTAAAGAATTTCCATTCTAGCTTAGAAATAAACTGTAATCTCTCATCTACGGTAATCAAATATTCCTTCAAGATTTTCCTCTTTGACACATTAAAATTTTACATGTTCGAAATAATAAGACAGCAATAATTAGATCAAAAGTTAATAAAGTGTTCCGTTTTATTATTTTGGAATCGTACATAATACACGGAGGAAAAAATTCTATTAAAATTATCGTACTGTATAATAATAATATTTCTAATTAAAAAAACATCTTTCTGTTAATAAAAACGAAAATATACGGTATTTGAACCATTCATTAGGAAATTATTCCGCGTATAGAATTATTCCGTTCATATGGTTTACCGAAAATTCTGGTTCTCAAAATTACAGATCATCTAACCACACAATTAGAGAAAAATTCAAAACTGAGAAAGCAAATCTAACCGAAAGAATTGTTTGATGCCATGCTCTTAGGTTTCATGATAAAATTATTAAATTTTACCACACTTTATTATTAATTTAACCAAAATCATTATTAAAGCGCTTTGATGAAAATAACTGAGCTTTTTGACATACCATTTTTTGTTGCCATACAGCCAGAAACAAACTAAGTTTGACCATATTTTGGGAGACCTGACCATGTTTTTATCTGTGATAATTTTTTTTAAAAACTGTTTGAAATTCGCAAGTATGTCAAAATATAATGAATATAAAGGAATAACAATCCTTTACTAAGACATTATTACTATTTCATGCAATATTCATTATTCGGTTAAAAAATTGCATCATGTCATATTTTGAGTTAACGTAAATTAAGTATATATATATGTAATTTTCGTTAACTCAAAAAGTTGACATGATGCAAGTTTTTAACCGAATAATGAATAATGCATTAAATAGTAATAATGTCGATTTCCTAGGAAATCTAGCATTTAAATAAAAACACTATTTATATTCCTAGCCCCTTAAAAATGCTAAGATTATTTCCAAGGGTACAAGTTTATCTTATTTTCATCTTATTATATTTGCAAGTTTTATTTCATTAAATTCTGATTTATTACGTGTGATTATGTGTATTGTCGTTATCTAATATATTTTTTGTTTTATTGATGTTGTCGTTTTTATGACAATAACGTTTGTTATCATTGAATATAGAAAAGCGTGATTAATCCAGAATGATCTTGATTCAATGACAAAAATCAATTGATTGTATTGTTGTGATATATTTATCTTAAAAACAACTTTGACCTTTGACGAAAGCGTGAATGAAGGGTGAAGGGTTTCGAAATAATAAAACTAATGAAGATTATTGATGCTATTTTAAGGAAAAATGTATTTTAAATATTAAGTTGATCAAAAATTCCAATTATCTCTTTTGCCACTTCAATAGGTTTTTTTTATTCTTCATTTTTATTTTATAACCGTCTTTGAACAACCGACCCAATTTTTGTGTTTAAAACTACCAATGTTCAACTCCTTAGCCTTGTAAATTTTGAACATAATCCAGAAGATAAGAGAATTCAGGTTTTAGGGAACAATAGGTTTGAAAAAATTTCTAAATTATACAGAGCTTAATCAACCTCCAAAATACACTAAATAAATATTCCAGTGCAATTTAAAATAAATTGGACGCATTAAAATAAATTTTCTTAAATTATAATTTGAATACTTTTTAAAACTGCATGCTATATAAAGCTTTTAATCAATGGAGGCATTTTTTATTGTGCCTGAAAGAAAATTAAATAAGCAATTTTTGTTGTGTATCGAAACGAAACATTATTTACAAATAATCATTTAAGTCGAATCATGTATGTTTTAATAGAAAATTCGCATCATAAATTAGAAATTAGATGCTTCACTTAACACAAATATAATCTCTCACAATTTTTTATCGTAATTTCAAAACGGAAATTCTTTTAACCAACGTTATACAAGTATATTTGAATTCTTGTAATAAAAAGAAATTCTTAAATATTACATTTTATCAAACGAAAAAGGTTTTGTATCGGAGAAATAATTGGAAAAAAAATTAGTAATATGCATACTTATTAATAGCAAGAAGTGAATTAGTAATAAAACTCTATTCTTACGTTTTAAATGTATAATATATCACAATATGAAAACCAAATATTGTGTATTGACCAATTTTAGAATCAGTCAATAACATTAAACATACAGTATGCTTTTTTTTATAGCTATCAATCTCATGCCATCGCATTTTTTTTATAACTACATTTTAATCCATAAATTTTCGATGCACATGGACAAAATATTTGAATATATATACTCTCCAAATATAGGGTATCCGAAATGAGACTGGTAGTATTCAAAAATCTATAACAGCAAAACCAACAAAATTAAAAAACAATTGTTGCAGAAAAATCGTGTGATAGGATAATGTTTTCCTCTCAAAATTCCTGGTTTAGGTTTTAACTTTTTTTTCAACAGACGAGGATACAGATAGTTAGAAGTCGAAATCAAATTCAAATAATTGAAAAATCACAATTTTGAAAATTTTGATAGTTTTCAATGAATGAAAATCCCTTTATAAAATTTTTGAACTGTCCAACAAACATTCCGCAAACAAAATATCCGAAGTAAAAGTATAATGACAAACAAATACTCGAACTCATTATCATAAGCACTGCATTCATGAAAACGACGAAAGGGAGTTGCAGTGCCATCTGTCGGAAACTTTTAGACTCAAAATAAATAGTTTTTAAAGGAACGGTATGGTCTGACACATGAATTTGTTATAACAAAACTTTTCTTATTTATCATTCCTCAAATGTAAATTATTGAGAAAACGTCAGTCAAATTTAAGACAATCTGCACATTCGTCATATCTTAACACAACATTAGAAAAACTTTTGTTAACTTTTAATTCATTTCCTGTCTAATATTTTTATGAAAAGACATTTCATCATTTTTTTATTTATATTTGTAAACAATTTCAAATGCAGGGTAATGATTACAATTGAAGTTTTTATTCAATTCTACGTGTTTGAACATCAAGACGAAACGTGAGCTTGCTCGTGAGTTTACTCAAATGTCTGGATAACTTCCATGGTTATAATGCACAAGGGGTAACAAAAGCATGCCAATAACCAGAATTAATTTCGATTCTTTTCAGCACTTCCCCTGAAGACTTCCGGTTACGTGTGAAAGAGATAGAAGAAGAAATATATGAAAAAGGAACTTACACATTGACATCCGATGAACTATCGTTTGGTGCCAAATTAGCATGGAGGAATGCATCCAGATGTATTGGAAGAATTCAATGGAGCAAATTGGAACTTTTTGACAGGAGAGATGTGACGTCAACCAGAGAAATGTACTCTGCATTGTGTACTCATCTTGAATATGCAACAAATGGCGGAAACATAAGGTAATTTTTACACGGAACTAAAAAAAATTTAACAAACACTGCATAGTTCTACTTGTGGAGTTTTACTATGACAATGTAGGAATCCACTTCGTTGATGAGATTAAATAAATAGCGTTTCGATTCTAATTATAGTGAAATACACAAATTCGAACCTGTGCCGCTTGCGGTTGTTGTTCCCATTTCTAAAATGTTCCAAGTATCTTCGACAGAATAAGCTGCAAACCTATTTTAATACCATGTTCAAAAAAAAATTTTCCGAAATTTTTTTGTATCAACTAGTTTTTGTCAAAAATTAGAAAAACGCAAGCTTTCAAATTGATAAATGATATATATAAGTATAATAAAAACACCATTAGATATAACTAGAAATAACTATAAAATCACCATTAGATATAACACATTTAATAATACTACATAAAGATAATGTTAATCAAAACTCTCAGCTTAGTGACCTCGCTTTAACTATAAAGATTATAACTCTCGAAATCTATTAAAGTCTCTAATGGCTCCCAAAAGTAGTTGTAATTCATCCTAACAGATTAGTTGGTTACGGCGCAGTTTTTGTTGTTGTTGCTGTGGTTCATTTACGTCGCACTAGAACTGCACAATGGACTATTGGCGACGGTCTGGGAAACATCCCTGAGGATGATCCGAAGACATACCATCACAATTTTGATCCTCTGCAGAGGGGATGGCACCCCCGCTTCGGTAGCCCGACGACCTGCACGTGAAGTCGAGCACTTTACGGTAGAACAGTTTAACGAGGACCAATACCGCACACCCTCAGTCCCATCGTAGGCTGATCAAATTGGTCACCCATCCACACACTGACCATTAACGCCTGACTTTGATGATATACAGGAAACCATGCCTTGCAATCTGTCCACTGGTAGGATTCAGTCTCATTTTTCAAATCTGTGACTTCAGTCCATTGTAGATTATGGATTAGAAAAATTATATTACAAATTAGAAAGATTTGGGAAGTAACATTTATTTAAACATTTTTTTAGCTAAATGATAAGGAGGAACGACAAAGCGTGATATTTTAAGGCCCACTATTATTGTTAAATAAAGTATAAAAATTTTAACAATAGTATGAAACTGGAAAGAAAAAATAGAAAAAAAAAACTGTCTTCATATTTATTCCAAATATGTAGGTAAAAATCAGGGATTTTAAGCGTCGAAAGATAATATTTAAAGGGATCCACGAAATTTATGATTCATAAATGGTTATAAATTATTCTAGATTACTCAGAAAGGAAAAAACCTAAATTTGCAAGACATTATATTTTGATTCGACATTAAGTCTTCACGCGAATGTACTATCACTCCCGCATACATGCATATATTAGTGCAAATTATAAAAAAGAAAAATATTAAATAAATTCTATCACCAAGTAGCAAGGATTTCTATTTTGTTTAGGTTTTTGTTTTGTTTAACAAGAATTGCTATTTTGTCAAGGATTAAGTTTTGTTCTTTTTTTTATTATTCATTTTTCAATTTATTCTATCACCATTAATTTCTGCATTCTAAGTGAACATCAATATTTTTTCAGTGATTTTATTTACCTTATAATAAAAAATACAAAATGCGTTTAAAGAATAGTTATTCAAGTGGCCGTTTTCAAAAAGTTATTAATAAGCTAAAGTCCTTAGACTCATTTGCTGAAATTAAACGTTGATTATGCTGAATATTGAGCAATTATAATTCAAATCTCAAGTTACAGGTTCTGCGTTTGTTATATTTAAAAAAAATGCTACTGAATTTGTCATATTAAAACACCTACTAATCAAGTGTTTAAACTTTGCAGTAATAATATGATTGTGCTGTTATTTTTTCAAAGGTCAGCGATCACACTCTTTCCACCGAGAGTAGAAGGAAGAGAAGACTTTCGAGTGTGGAATCCCCAACTCATCAACTACGCTGGATATCTCCAACCCGATGGGAGTGTCATAGGAGATCCTGGAAGAGTTCAGCTAACAAGGGTAAGAAAAAACGGAAAAAATATTTTTAGAAATGCCACTTGGCAAAAATTGGTGAACTTTTTTGTTGTTGTTGCTCAAATTGCGTTTTATTTACTTGTTGCCAAATTAAAAGGCGCTTATCATGTCTTCATATTCGTGTATTACCCGAAATTGTAAAATTCTCTTGCTTGTTTGCTTGCTTTCGTATGCCTGTTAAGGCAGAGGGGTGCGATTGTTCGTATTTTCCAGTGGCGCCATCTATGGCCAAGAATTCGACTTATGCCACACCCATTACATCATGCTCGTTTATAGGGTATATTATTATTCATACATCCATTCATTCATCCACAAATCGTAATTTTGACCTAAATCAGAGAACGATCAATCTCCAATTCAGTACCCCCAGAGGTTTGGATTTGTTATGGGAACATGGAGGACTTTGCTACTTGACAGATTTAACTTGCATCAGTCACCATTTTACTACACGGGGAGTCTTCGGCCGGCGGGGTTCGAACTCACGAACCCTTGGACATGGGCCCAGCACCCTACCGACCAGGCTTAAAGTTGGATAAACAGCTGCCTCGATCATGTGTATTCTCATGCCCATTTCAAGTTTGTATAAGCCAACATTATGTGAGGACACTGTTTCTGTCCTTTTTACAACTATGATTGGTGAAAGCTCGTTCAATAACTGCTCAGCAGTATTGGCCGCTGCTAATAAACGAAATAGCTAGCGATAAACGAGATGAGGATGTTTATCAGTAGAACTCGAATGCGTCTGATACAATCAATAGGTGAGGTAACAAAATTGATGCCATGTGCTAAATCTACGCAATTAATGCAATATGCTAAATCTACACAAATTCTAAATCTATTGAAGTGATGCAATGTACTAAATCTACCTGAATTCTAAATTGATGCAATGTGCTAAAATATCCAAAAAAGCTACTGATCTATAATTTTACCCACGATTGTAAATAATAGAACATCTTTTTTTTTATAATCTTTATCCGTTTGAAATAATGTATCATAAAATTTCCTCAAAATAAAATTACTTGATCGAAGTGCTTGGCAAAGCTGAAAATACTAGCTTTATTTCTTACTTTTACCGACCGGCCTGTGTAGGGGGCAGGGAACTGTCTTTGCATCAGAAAGGTTCTGGGTTCGAATCCCGGGCAAGGCATGGATGATTTTTCCTTCTCTGTACTATCTGTCTGCACTGTGGGAGTGATGTTGACCCACCTAATATGGTGCCCCTGAAAGAGAGGTCAACAAAATCGCCCTGAAAATGCCTGAATTGACGGATGATAACACAGGTGGGCATTGGGAAAAAAAAATTTTTTACTTCCTTTCAGGGAAGAATTTTAATTCTGTTATTCGAATTGTTTTTCTTCTTGCAGATTTGCCAAAGATTAGGATGGAGAGGTAAAGGAGGAAGATTCGATATCTTGCCGTGGGTTGTGTCAGCACCAAATGAAGGTGTAAAGTATTATGAAGTACCAGAGGAATTGATTTTAATGGTGAAACTGGAGCATCCTAAATATAAGTGGTTTGAAGAACTTGACATAAAATGGTACGCTGTTCCAGCAGTGGCAGATATGATGCTGGACATTGGAGGTATACAGTTTACGGCAGCTCCTTTTAATGGCTGGTACATGGCAACAGAAATTGGAGCCAGAAACTTGTGTGATCCGTACAGATTTAACATGATGGAGGTAAAATTATTCTTTTTTATAAATTTTGGCCTTTTTGTCATACTGTAATTGGCAAATTGTACAAATGAGGATTCTAAAGACATTTTGGTAAATTCGAGTTAGTTTTAAAATGATAAGGTTAATTTTTTTTGTTTTGAATCTCTGAATTCTTCATTTCATTATGGAGGTATTAGATATGCAAATTTGGAGACATATTGATTTTCTAATTTTTTTAGAGAGAAGTTTTTTTTCTTTAAATCTTTCTATATAGCAATCTGCATTCACTTTGATTTACGTTTAACTTTAAACGTAATCATTTTTTGAATGGGCGAAAGTTAGCAATTCAGCGTTTGGTATTCAAATTTCTACAATTAGCGAAATAAAAAATGAAACAGTTCGAATTACTTTCGTTATGATAATACGATTTTCATGTATTGTATACGTATGCACAATACATGATACGTGATGGAGGCAATTCGATGTTTCAACAACGAAATTCAGCCACATTTATGCAAATTGTTACTGAAAAATTTTAAGAAAAAAAGTGCGTATCTGCCAGCAAAGCCATGAAAGGCATTTCCTTGATCTGTTATTCTATATCTTACCCTATCATACGTATTTTATGTTTCAATAAAAAAATAGATATCATTGAAAATACAGGGTTATTCCTAATTCCCTCCACCTGTAAACGCCATTTTTCTTTACTACAACTGTCTTCAGTGGTGCATGTTACTGCCATCTACCGGCAACTGCTTAAATTAAAACTTGAATACTTTCGGAATAATTTCATATGTTCTTTTTTGCCATATTCTTCTTCGTTTTTTTACTATAACGCTTCGAAACCCCGGAGGGTATTATGAATAACACTGTAGTTATAATCTCATCAACTCATGAAATCGATATAATCTTGTGTAAAATATGGGACACACTTTAGTTGCATTGAACATTTTTGATGTCATCCCGTTGCGTGACTAAGAATACAATATGACCGTAATCTGATGAGGTATTACATGCTATCGAACGTATTTCCAGCAAGTATGTAGATAAAGGAGAGACTTTTTAAGATTTTTGTCAACACTTTATTCCCTAATGTCCTTGAAACCTCTTCCGCTTCGAAAAACAGTAAAACAAATGTTGCTTTAAACTTTTATCTACTGTGATCTGCTTTAAGAATTTATAAAAATAATTGAATATCGTAAATTTAAATATAATTAAAATGAGATCATTCCCCCAAGAAATCTTATCAAAAACGTCTTTTTAAACCCTTACACCATTAAGCTCCTAAATTTTACTATTCTTTTGATAATTATTTGAAATTAAGCGTACCATGAAATATAATGATAAGTGGAATCTTGTTAACTTCAAATATTTTGACAGAATTATTTTTGTGTGTTATATCTATAGCAAAACATTTTCAACAAATTGGAATGTTTATTTACATATGAAGCGAATAGCTTTAAAGCCATCTCGGTTTGTATTTTTTGTTTTTTAAATTTCTTTAAGTATAAATCGAAATTACTTTCTTTTTATTTTTTTTTAATTCTGCTATGTCTATCTTAAACATTCCAGAGAGATTCCGTTTTGGAAATTGCTAATCATGACCTATTTCGTAATATTTTCTTAACATTTAGCTTTTTTTCTTTGTTTTTTTTACACTATTAAAAAAGGTTCTTATGTTCTATTAATTTGGCGGAATTGATTGACCTAGTTTACTCCATAACTCAAAGGCAATTAATTGACTTTTGATAACGGCTCTTTATAAAGCATCTGAATCTTTCGAGCGAAAGTAATCCTTTTAATCTTTAATTGGCGTCTCCGTATCTCTGCACAAAATTACGAATCGCTCAACATAATAAGCATTTGTTTTTTGTGATATATATATCAACAATACATAAGTTTCTTTACATCTAATTGATTAACAGCAAAATTTACACTGAAAGAAATTTACACTTGTTAACTATATAAATAATTTTCAGGAAGTGGCAGAGAAATTAGGTTTGGACACAAGAACACCGACAACTCTGTGGAAAGATATGGCTTTGCTTGAAACGACGCTGGCAGTATTATATTCTTTTCAAGTAAGCAAAACTTTTTTGAATTATTCGTTTTACTTTCAACATTTCGTCTTAAACATAATTTTACAAGTGCAAATAGCAATTATTAGTCGATATAGATTATGCATTATAAAAATACTAGAGTTTGAATTACTTGAAATAATAATTTACTTTTCAGTACAAATAGCAATTTTTAGTAGATATAGATCACTATGAAAGAACCAAAGTTTGAATTATTTTAATATTTTACTATTCAGTACAAATAGCAATTATTAGTAGATATCGGTAGGGCGCTGGGTCCATGTCCGGGAGTTCGTGGGTTCGAAACCCGCCGGCCGAAGACGTGACTGATGCACGTTAAATCTGTCGAGTCGCAAAAGTCCTCCATGTTCCCATAACAAATCAATACCTCTGGGGGTACTGGATTGGAGATCGATCGTTCTCTGATTCAGGTCAAAATTACAATCTGTGGATGAATGAATGGATGCATGAATGGGTCCGCCCTATGAACGGGTGCGACGTATGGAAGTCGAATTCTTGGACATAGATGGCGCCACTGAAAAACAAGAATCGCACACTCTGCCTTAAATTTGCTCGGTTTCACCAAGTAGACTTGCCCGTGTGGCAAGTGGCATTAGAAACAACAACAAAAACATTAGTGGGTATGGGTTATGCATTACAAAGATGCAAAAGTTTGAATTAAATAATATTTTACTATTCAGTACAAATAGTAATTATTAGTAGATACAAGATTATGCATTATAAAAAGACCAAAGTTTGAATTATTCGAAACAATATTTTACTATTCAGTACAAATAGCAATTATAAGTAGATATAGATTATACTTTGCAAAAAATGCAATATATTGGATTGCTTAAAATATTTCATATTATAGTTTTAATAACTTTTCAATTCAAGCTAAATTTTCAAGTGTTTTTTATTTTTTATTTCAGAAAAATAAAGTAACTATTGTTGATCACCATACTGCTGCAGAAACATTTATGAAACATATGGAAACGGAACAAAAACTTCGAGGAGGCTGTCCAGCAGATTGGGTGTGGATAGTACCACCAATTAGTGGTTCGGCAACTCCTGTATTCCATCAAGAAATGATCACCTACAATTTGAAGCCGAGCTATGAGTACCAAGAGAAGGCCTGGGTCACTTACAAATGGCCTGTGAATGATAAAGTCAAATTAAAATTTAGGTTCCGAAGTGTGGCCAAGTAAGTGCATTAAATAATAAATAGATATTTTAATTATCTATCATAATTTCTCAGAATTTGTATAAACTTCGCAGAATTATTTTTAAAAAAAATTTTATGAACGTTTTATCTGCAAAATGGCGCTATGATATACATCCGGAAATGTGATGTTCTTACCTCGTAAGAATTGTGCAAAATGCTTCTAAAGTAATTGGACCATGGAATAAAGTAGTTCACAATCTGTGTATTTGTTGTAAAAATATGTCCCATAATCTCGTTTGATTTTTGTTAATACCGATTTTTTATGTGCAGTTTCGTTTTGCTAAATGAAAGTAAAGTTATTATCATTTACTTTTGAATCCTCCATTTCTTCATGCCTGAAGATTTTAAGATTTTTTTCGTATTCTTACTCTAAGATCCATCTTGCGCCAAAATAAACCATTCATGTTAGCATTACAAATTGATGAAAGACTCAGTAAACATAACATATCAACACTTATCAACATTAACATATAACATAACCACTTATCAACATAACATAAACTAAACTCAGTGGCGCGACATCCCATGACAGGCCAAGATCTACCGTACTCTTTCCAGTTTCCTTGGCGTTGGGCCAACACCTCCACAAGAGAGAAGGCTTCAGCACAGATCAATTTAGTAGAGCAACTTAACGATCGTAAACTGCGCAGTGGAGGTAATTTAGAAATATGTCACTATGTTCAGGCTACTAAAATGCGCCGTGGGGGATTTGGAAAGATGTCATTACGTTTGGACTAGTAAAGGATCAAATTTTACCTTAACCCGTGCTGAGGCCTATTCCCTTGGATAAAATATCATCATATGATAATATGATTATTATGTGATACTATTAAAAGAGATTCTGAGTGATTCTCTTGGATAAAATATCATATGATAATATGATTATTACGTGATAATATTAAAAAAGATTCTGAACAATTCTCTTGGATAAAATATCATCATATGACAGTATGATTATTATGTGATATTATGTATTTCATAGCGCAGAATTGCGGGTAAACTATCAGGGCAGTCAGTAAGATTTTTTGATAGCATTCAATGAATATAATAAGCTAACCAAATGTGTGAAATTAAGATAAATCAGTGCATATTTGCTAAGATTTATTTAGTGCTAGTTTCAAGACATTAGACAGATTATATTAAAATTAATAAAATCAGTATAAACATATATTCTTTCAATTATATAATATTTAGCAATTAATTTGAAAGCATAAAAACAACCGTTCTGAAAGTGTTCGTTAATATACATGAGCAAACTTTTTGTGTTTGAAGATCTTAGTAAAAATCTTTCTAAGTAGAGCGATTTTTAGAAAACGAAATTTTTTTGGAAAAGGTCTGATTTCGGTCTATGATCTAAGACAAATCTTTATGCTACATGGTACTACATGGTGTTAACAGTATATGCTACACGGTATTGACAACATTTGGGAATAATTCATTATACTCTACAGTTATTGATTGTTGAAAAATATATGTGAAAAGAATGATACCAAATAAATATTTCTTGTAATTTATTTACAGAGCCGTACAGATTTGCATAAGAATGATCAACAAAGTGAAATCGAGTCGGACACAGGCAACAATTCTATACGCTACCGAAACTGGCAAATCGGAGACGTTCGCAAAGAAACTCGGACAAATGTTGCAGGCCTCTTTTAACACTCAAGTAATTATTTCACCACCAACTTTGAGCATTTCTGATTAAGATTCATCAAGAATTGTTGCTTATCACCTTTGCTTTATTTTTCAGGTTATATGCATGGAAGATTACGATTTCGAAAAAATCTCATCTGAACAATTCGTTGCATTTGTGTCAAGTACATTCGGAAGTGGTGAACCTCCAGACAATGGAAAGGTAAGAAATACAGATTTTTCTCAATTTCTTAATAAATTTTTAACTTGTTTTAAATAAATTATGTCTCAAATATAAGCTCTCCAAACAAAATATAGTTCACCTTTGAGAAAACATGAAAATCCTGATTGGCGGCTCTATCATGTAATAAAGCCGCCATGAGTCAGTGGTTAAGGCACTAGGCTGAGGAAGTGAAGAACTGTGGTTCAATTCCCAGTTATGGCTTGAAGCCCACCGAACTTCAGATCGATAGATACCAGTTTGTCTGGGAAGTAAAGGCAGTCTGTGCGCAGTGCAGACCACATTGAAACAATCATTCCATTGATCACGAAATTATGGAACCGTAAACTCCATGACCCCCCTGCCCCACATCAGGCTGCTGTGAGACTGTTTGACTTATATTAGTAATACATTCATATATTAGCATTTATTTACTAATATATACATATATTAGTAAATAAATAAACAAGCTTTTGCTGGTGTGTCACTTCCAAATTTAGCCAATCGTTAAGGATCATGTAAATCCACCTAATTGCAAGGATAATTTGCAAGGATTTTCCTGACCAATATAAATGTAATGAGGTGTGTGATTGTTTCATTAAACCATTCATATATTATTCCTGCAAGTATGACTTTTTTTCCCTTTTTAAAAATCAGCGTAGCAACAGCATACTCATATTGAAAATTTTTACTGCGAAGCAACACATAAATGGTCATTTAGAAAGTTAAGATGTAGAAGCTGGATCATATTAGTGGTTACTTCATTTAAAACATAATGGGAAAAATACCCCCAAAACATTAAAGACCCACTTCCAGATTAATTGCGCTTTTTATGATTTCTCAAGAAGTGACTATTTTTATTATTATTATCATAATTGCTAATTATATTATTATATTTGCGAATTTTAATTATATTTCATTTACAGACCTTTTGGAAAGCTTTATATGGTTTGAAAGCAAAAGGCCACAAGCTACAAAATTTAAGGTAAGTAAATAACTTAGACAATTATTAAAGAGAAATTATATTTAGATACGGGATACTGTAAATATTAATTTTTGTACACATTTACGATATACTTATAGGATTAGACGAGAATGGTATTTTCATCATAATATGATCGTTGACTTTTTATCTTCCTTTTCCAAGTAAATATTGTAAAAATTTACCCGTATTCTCTTTACGTCTTGAAATTTAGTACACGTGTAAGGAAAAATGCTCAACTAATCTCTGTAAAGTTTTGAACTAAATGACCCAAAAATAGCAAGTTGCTTTTTTTTTAATATTTGAAATTATTTTTATAAAAATTAATTTTTTAAAACTAAAATAAAATCTGATGTTTTATAAAAAAAATTTATGTAACTATCGTAAGCCATTTGTTCTGAACAAATGGGCTACTAAGGCCATGTTTTTGCAACTACATTTACGCCAAGAAAAAAGGAAAGTTTGCCCTATTTTAGGTATACTCTGTATGTGTAGTATCGACGGGAATCTCAAGTAAAAATATATTTTAGTTTACCACAAAGAAAGATTTTAGTTTGAGATTGTTTTGTTTGAGATGTCAATTACCACTTCCTTTTACAAAGCCAATTCCTATTCCATAACTTCGGATTCATTAGAGAAATTGCGTCCTAAAATTTAGGAAAAAAATCCTGAAAAACCATCGAATGAAGGTTCGAGTGATAGGGAATGAACCGCGGAACAATAATAAACCGTGAGAACTGTAGAATAAAGGTCACGAAACTTTTTGTGACCTGTTGACATCCTGGGTATGCCTCACGAAAACAAGTTTGTTCTAATGTCAAATCCAAGAGTGTTCCTCTGTCTTCTTGGTTGACTTCAAAGTTATGAGTGTGGGCTGCAGACTCAAAATGAAGCGGCTACTATGCTCGCTACCAGTTGTTGCTATATATATATATATATATATATATATATGCCGATTTATTTATTCTGATTAGGTATGCAGTATTTGCTTTGGGATCGAGTCAATATCCACATTTTTGCCAATTTGGTAAAGATTTGGACAAATGCCTATCGGAAATTGGAGCTAAAAGATTGATGCCTGTAGAGATGGGAGATGAGTTAGGAGGACAAGAACATGTCTTCAAGGAATGGTTGCCAAAAGCTTACAAAGTGAGATCTGGTTTATTTTTTGAAAACAATTAAAGCTTTCTACCGTAATAAGTTAATATTACAGTTAATATTCAATATAAAAAATACGTCTTTTCATAATATTCTCTCACTTAATTTCTGCTTTCAAGCATTTTTACAAAAATGCTAAATGCAAAAAGCATAAAATATTGAAAGTGTTTAACGTGAGAAAAAAAAAAGAAACTGCATTCAACTTTTTACGAGGCCAATTGAACATATATGAATAAGACAGCAATAAAAAATCCTGAGTTATAAATTTAAAAAAAGAAAAAGAAATTTCAGGCAATGATTAGCCTGACAAAAATATCTCCCCTTATACTTTCACTCATTTGATTTATACAGGTCGATTTGATCATTAATCTATTTGAGATTCACAGATGTCTTGTTCATCTCTATAAGCTTAATTTTAGTTGAAAATTGCGATGCACCGATTATGAAATAACACAATGAACCTTAATTAAATAATTACCTTAGAAATAAATATTATTGAAATACATAATACCTTATTTAGACCAGTATTTCTCAACTTTTTTGGTTCTGCAACCTTTTAAAAAATGAAAGAGAACTCTACGCCCTCCCCTTTCCCGGAATTATTCAAAACATAAAAAATTGAGAGAAATTTTTGGATGAAGCAGTAAGGACTATCATTTCTTATTTATCATCTTTTAGACAAGTTCTTGCTCGCCCGTGGAAGTGACTTTAGAGGTTTAGTCACTGAAGCCCCTGTAAGACATTCTTATAACACACAAATAATTTTGCCACATCTTACTTTTGAAAAAAGAAGTTTTTCATCTGTGGAAGAGATAAAATAGTAATCGTCTGTTATTGCTTGAAAACAATTTGCTTTTATTTATTTCAAGAATGGAGCAAACGTCCATACGCTTCATGGAGCATTGACGGTATGGACAAATTTTTATTGGGCCACTTACACAACCAATTAGATAGATTAATTAGATAGATAGCAAGACCGAAATCAGTGATGGAACAATAACTTATGCGGTAATTTCTTTAAGATATATTTTTTTCTCTTGAGTTTAAGAAAACGGGTATGTTACTTTTAATTTCATGAACCTCTGATTGGCCAATGCTATCCCCAAAGCCCACGGTGGCTCAGGAGATAGAGCATTCGCCTCCGAATGAGGTGAACCACGTTCGAATCCCAGCGTTGGCTGGTTGATAAGAATTCTGCTCCCGGCTCATACCAACCGCAGTGCTGACAAAAAAATATCCTCAGGATTAACCGGATCATGGGTTAGAATCTCTTTGTAGTTGTATTAACCATGGAACGTTTTCGTGGTTTTCCTTTCCGTTTGCACAAATTATCCGTTAGTTCCATCAAAAAGTCCTTCACGAAGGCTAGTTTGTCCCAATGCTTGATTCAGAGGTTTGTCAACAAATAATGAAAGTTATAAAAGAAATAACTATAAACCTGGACTTGTCTTTAGATAGACAGGTTTTACAATTGCGTGCGTGAATTTTTTTAATTCACTTCATTAGTATCGGAGATAGGGCGTAATACGCAAAGATTGAAATTGTCATTAAATGGATCAAAACGCTTAATCACTTTCCTGTCTAAACCATTGGAACCATATTTTTCTAACTACGGCTAAAAATCGTGATGGCTCAGGGGATAGAGCGTTCTCGAACCGGGTTCGAACAACAGCGATGACTGGTCGATACGAATTCCGCATTCGGCTTGCACCAATCACAGTGCTGACGTAAAATATCTTCAGTGGTAGAAGAATCATGGGTTAGATTCCCCTTACCGTCGGGATAAAAACGGGAGTTTTCCTCTCGATGTAACGCAAATGCGGGTTAGTTCCACCAAAAAGTAAAGACAAATTTCTCCCAATACTCGATCTAGGAGTTCAATTGTCTTCTAGATTGGGTCCAAAATTACAAGGCTACTTAATTGAACATTGACTGCCGTGAACTCAGAACTGGGTAGGCTGTTCAACGCCAGTTATAAAATTTTTTTAAAAAATCTGATCCCCAGATTGAGAAACGTTACTACTGACACTTTCACACATCAAAACTACAAAAAAATCTATATTTCCAAAAACTATTTCACTTACCAATTATAATTGAAAAAAAGATGCTTGAAAATATCAATGGTTCAACTTGCGACAGTTGGGCAGAAGTACTTGATGCATATCAATATGTAATAATTGATGAATATATAATAATTGATGTAAATTTACTAAGTAAAACTTTTAATTCCCACTCACCTCTAAACTTTTCTTCTTACTTTGTTTCTTAAAAATTTTAAAGCTTCTAATTTTAAAAGTTTATTTCCAATTTTTTGATGTATAAAAAAATATTATTAATTTAGGCATCATGTGAAGATTTTGGCATACCAATTGATGAAGAAATGATGCTTGAAAGCATTAATAGTTCCACCTGGAAACCAGGACAGTTTAGAATGATACCTATTAAAAATAAAGTGAATGTTTTGTCAGGTAAAAAAAATATATTATCATTCAAATCCTATCATTATTTTTTTGTATGAAATTATTGAAAAAAAGCTTATAATTAAGAATATTTAAAAGAGTTTTAAAGTTAAACGAGGTAACTTTTCAATTCAATGGAATCGAATTCTTAAATTCAAAGTAGATGGTTTGAAACTCTAAAAAAATTAATAATTCTTTTATTATTATTATTCAAATAATGTTTAAGAAAAGTAAATGACTCTTAAAATAATGTGGTACTAATTATAATTAGAGTCTAATTATTTAGATTTAGAACCATCTGTAAATAGGTAACTTACCTTACCTATTTAGAGATGGTTCTAAAAATACATCATATACTTGTCGTAAGTTTACCATAATTATTTTGTTTTGCGGTTTCAGCTTTTAGTTAGTAATAAGGTCATTTTTAAGCATGTATTTTTTAATTTTTTTATTTTATATCTGAAGCTAAAACAAGTTTCATAGTTTCACAATGAAAAGCTTAAACCATTTATTTATTTATCAATTTATTTATTTTCATTTCGCAATTGCTTTAGTAAAAACAAGTGTAATACAAATAGTTTGGTTGACAATTTTTCTCAAAAAGTTACGAGCTTTTTGGCTGTTTTGAAAAAATAAAAAAATCCAAAATTGAATTTTTTACTAATTTTCGTGTTTTTACTATATTCTCTTCAGAATTCTGGTTTTCTCATTGTATTGTTAGCCTGAAACGCGTCGACAAAAAATAAAATGATAAATTTTTAATTTTTATATTTAATTTTAAAAAGGACAGATCAACAAAATATGAAATGATAAATAAATCACACATTCCCTATGCATTCTGTAGAATGTCTAATGACAAACTTACAAAGCATGACGTGGTAAAATATTTCACATATCGCCCAGACATTTGATAAAATGACTAATGACAAATTCAAAAATTATGAAATGATAAATATGTCCATATTGCCTGGGCATTCTATAGAATGACCATTAAAAAAAACAAGCATTCTAAGCAATAACTAGACATTCTATAGAAATCCGACATTTCATAAAATAAGAGTAGCTTGCATTAAGTGTTCTTTTGCCAATAAATATGATATTTTTATCACCTTTTGTCGGGAAATTCTTTTGATAGATATGTCACTCATCATCGAGGTATTCTATAGAACAACAAGTTAAAAATCATGCATTCTATGTAATGATTAGAAATTTAGAAAGCTGGCTTTTGACAAAATGGCGGTAACACATTAAGTGTTCTCTTAACAATAAATAGGTTAAATATGTCACCCATTGTCGATTCATTTTCTAGAATGACCGATTAAAAATCGGGTATTTTATGCAATGACTAGGCATTCTATAGAAAGCCGATATTTCATAAGATGACGGTAACTTACATTAATTGTTCTTTTGATAGGACTTTCACAAATTCACACCAAGCAAGTTTTTACTGCAAAAATGTTAACAAAGATGAACTTACAATCTGAATCTTCCGAGTAAGTCCACTTTTTAAGCCATGTTTAATTTCAATTGATCGTAAGAAGTTAACTTAACTCATAACAATTTTTTTTCCAGCCGTAAAACGCTACTCATAAAGCTTGATGTTCAAAATAACTCGATTCTAGCATATGAACCTGGTGATCACATTGCAATATTCCCTACTAATCCAGCATCTGTAGTGGATCCAATACTAGAACAGCTAGATTGTGACGTAGACAGCATTTTCAAAACTGAGCATTTGAAAGGTAAAGCAACGAATTCTTTGAAAAATTTCTCTAGCTTGTTTTTTACTTTTGGTTCCAGGCTATAAGATGCTGAAAGCCGAAAGATGCTCCAGACTGCTGAAAGGCTATTCTGTTACTGAAAGGCTGTCATCTCATAATATAACATTTTTTCACGAAGAATATGGTATTTACATAACTGCTGTTAGTTTGCATCGTGAATGTTAGGCCCAGTTTAGTCTAACTTGATAAAGCAGATTGTTTGGATTTTAAAAAATAAAAGAATACTTTCAATATTTTAAAAAATTATTTAACTTCTTTTTAAATCAAATTGCCAATTTGCTGAAATTTTTCCGATTAAATTTGAGCCTTGAAAATCAATGAATAATTGTTGATTTAATACGTCAAGCCTACGCAAAGTGATGTAACTTCGCAAACGATACAAATTATGCTAAATTATCTAGATGTCAGTTGCAAAACTACATCTAGATATTAATTACAAAATTATATATTTTAAAAACAAAAGATATTAATTATTGTGTTAAATTACAAAAAAAATAATTTCGGTTGAACAAAACATTCTCTTCTCAATAATCTAGACGGGTGAATTGTTGAAATTTAAAATATTAAAAAAAAAATCGGAAACTTAGTTGTCAATCCAATGGTCTTGTAGTGTGACAACTAACTGTGCATAAATCTAGGCGAATCACGAACAGCAGTTCGAAACTTTCCTCAATCTTCTCTTGCATGAATTTTTTATTTGAGTTAAAAAAAATAAATAGATATGCTACAAACCCATTTAGCATCACAGGATTGTGGTGCAATATTTTTTGAAATTTTTGTCATACAGAGTCAAAAACTAAAGGTGATTTAAGGTGAAGAAAATTGAAAACTCGTATCCAAGTGAGAACTAATATGCTTTCCTGGTATATTTTATCTATATAATTATAATGGACAAACCGAATATTCATACTTCATTTATGAGGAATAAGAAGATGTAAAATAATACCAACCTTTCCAGCAATTTAGAATACCCACCAAAATAAATAAAGAAAGGAAAATTATCAGGATTTTCACTTCGTTATTGAATGCTCTATCGATTTCCAAAGAGATTATTTTTTTTAAATTATTTTGAACGGACTGCCACCTAATGTGGTTTCAATGGAGACTCCAAATGAGGACTAAATGCAAATTACATACCAAATGCGAATCTGAATTACATTATAAAGCAAGAATTCCTCGTATGAAGCTCATTTGCAGGAGATAATTAATAAAGCATGCTCTCAGCTCCAAATGAGGACTACATGCAAATTACAGACCAAATGCGAATCTGAATTACATTATAAAGCAAGAACATATATTCCTCGTATGAAGCTCATTTGCAGGAGATGATTAATAAAACATGCTCTCAGCTCCAAATGAGGACTACGTGCAAATTACAGACCAAATGCTAATCTGAATTACATTATAAAGCAAAAACATATATTCCTCATATGAAACTCATTTGCAGGAGATGATTAATAAAGCATGCTCTAAGCTTTGCTTTGAAAAATTACAAGCTGTCAGTTAGTAGTTAGTAGTAGTTAGTTAGAATATTACTTAATTAGCTTTTATTCTGAAGAAATTTAGTTCATCAATGAAATGCGTGTGAATTTTTGTTTTGTTCTATTGTTTTTTTGCAGAAATTTCTATGATCTATTTCAGGTGGAGAATGGAAAAGGTTTACTCGCCTCCCGGCAGCTAGCTTAAAAATTCTTCTTAGGCACTATTTGGATGTGACAACGCCACCCACCTGCAGCTTTTTGCGACTTCTGTCTGAACTGGCCAGCAACAAATGGGATAAATTTAGGCTTAAAAGATTATCTGAGGTGAGAACAACTTAACAAAAATTCCATTCCATAAATATTTCAAATGAAACATCCACTGTTTGAATCAATACTTAAATAATGTTGCAAATTTTTAAAAAAAAAATGTTGCAATTCTTTGTTGCAAACGTAAAAAAAATGAATTCCATTGATTTCTTTAACAATATACAAACGCAGTGTTTTAACATGTAATACAAATTGCCACTATTCGTATCAATGGTTTGTTTGTTGACTCTTCTTTTAACAAGATAATAAACATTATTAATGTAAACTATACCATAGTGGCAGAATACTGAACACACATAGAATTACACATAGAATACTGAAAACAATGCTTAAAGATTAGGGTTTATTGAGAGCCTTATCTCATGCATAATCAAACGCTCTAAAATTTTGCTTCTTTTTTAATCCTTTTTAAGGCCGTGAGAAGTATACTTCCCGTCTACAGATCCCGTCAGATGTTTCTCCTTAGTTTTAAAATATGGGTGGAAAGATATTTTGGTTAGAACGGACATCTGCTGATAACTGCCAAAAAAATACCAAAAAAAATATAAATAAAGGGCTTTATTTACATAATGTGGATGACAGTAAAGGTTAGTGAGGGTTCAAGAGGAGACACCAACAGTGGGGGGTGGCTATTTTTTCTTCTTTTGTGCGTTATGCTTTAGTTTATGGGACCGTTTATCATCGCGTTTTCTTATTCTGATCACAAAATGCGTAAATTCTGTAATGAATAAGATCAGAAGTTCGAGGCTATTCTTTACAGTGGGTAAAATTTTGAAAATTCCACCCACCTACGCACAAAAAATAAAATTTATTTTAGGTAATAAGTTAGATTAATTTATTTTTGTTTATCAATATTAATCCCAAAAATAATTAAGCATAACAGTACTAGAAAAAAAATGTCTTTATAAAGGGTTAAACTTGTAAATTATTTCTCCAACCCTTTAACGCAGAATTTTTATTAAAAATACTTTTTAACACCTTTTTTAATTATTTTGTATTAATTTGGGTCAAAATAAGTGAAGAATTTAGTATTTTAGTAATTGGTGGTTATGAAATACAGCATGAAACACTGGTGTCTTTCGTATGTGCGTGTGTTAAAGGTTAAATTTTCCAAACACGGCTCACTTCCAAACAATACTTTTTCAAATTGGTACTTATTTATATCTGAGAGAAGCAAGGCTCACAAATCCAAAATATTGAAAGACATTTCGCAGACATTTTGGTACGTCCTTGAAATCGCTTTAATTTACAAAATCAATTACTGATAAATTCTCGAATATAAATGGAAAAAAAATCAAACTTTTCTTTATATTTTATATTTTAGTAGGAATTTAATTCTGATAATCTAACAGATTTTTTAGTAACTATTAGACTGCTTTTTGAAACTAAAAAAATAACAAAATAAATGTTTACTTGCAATTGGAATGTCAGAAAAAATAAAAGGTAAAACGGTGCGTCGAAGGGTTAGAGTGTACTCAATCAACTCAAATGGTTCTTGCAATCACTAAATCATATGTTTGTTTTTTCATAGGTTCATGATGATTATGAAGCATGGAAATCTCATCGTCATCCCAATCTTGCCGAAGTTCTGGAGGAATTCCCCTCCATCAAGCTGGATCCAACAATCTTAGTATCTGAATTGCCACTCTTACAACCACGATATTACAGCATCAGTTCGTCCAGGCTAGCCACACCTCATGAAGTACACGTCACGTGCGCACTCGTCAGCTTCAGAACTCAAGGTCAGCACTTAATTTAATTCGCATAAGCATTTTTATTACTCCTTCCGTCTCAAGTTAGTTGCTACATTTTAGGTCGAAAATTTCGTTCGAAATTATTTGCTGCATGTGAAAGTAATAAATAACTGCCGATGCAGTTTAGTAGATCGACAACAGTAGAATTATAATACCGCAATGAATATAACGCTATAAAATTGAACATAGTTTCTTGCGATTACTATTTGAAGAGTCTTCAAATTAAAGCATGGCTTATAAGAGCGAGCATGCGAACTTAGAATTTTTTAAATTTTTTTTTTAAATTTTTTGCTATTTTGGAGATGACACAGGGATTACAGTCAAATCTAGATCTGTTACAAATGCCATTAAAGTTTTATTTTATTTTCCAATGCCCACCTGGGAATGACCTATGTCACACAGGCATCTGAAGGGCAAATTTGTTGGCCACTTTTCCAGAGGCACCATATTAGGTAGGCCAACGTTTCTCACACAGTAAGGGCAGATAGCACAGAGAATAAAAGAACATCCATAACTTACCCGAGCCGAACAGGTAGTCGAGCGGTTAGCGTGCCTGACTGCGAAACCAATGGCTGCGGGTTCGAATCCCGCTCTGGGCATGGATGTTTCTCTCTAAGTTGTCTTCTGTTGTGCGTGATGTGTGAATGTGGCCCACCCTATGAACGGGTATTTGTGGCAGTGTGGCTTCTTCCAAGGTGAAGAACGAAAGTTCAGTTCCTGTCATTAAAGGGGAAAAAAATAACTTACCCGCGATTCGAACCCAGAACCTTTCTGATGCAAGGCCAGTTCCCTAACCCCTACATAGGCCGGTCGGCATTTTTGAAACTAATTTGGTCTTGTTTTCAGAAGGGAAAGAGGGAGCTCTTGGTAAGCAAATGTTGTTGGTACACAGTATAACACCCTGAAATCTCCGAAAAATGTTCAAGCAAAATCGTAAAATCATCGGTGTCAATAATCAGTCCAAAAGTATTCGAATGTATCTACTAATTTGAGACAGAGGGTGTATGTTTTATCCGCGCAAAACCATTAGTAGAATAACTACTTATATGTAATTAGTAGAAAATTTCAAAGAAAAAGTAATAACCAATTATATTTGTTTCAGATGATAAAGGACCTCTTAAACATGGAGTGTGCACATCATTTTTGGATAAAGCTCATGACGTTGAGATTCCTTTCTATATAAGACAGTAAGTGTTACTTCATTTTCACATTCGTATATGCAAACAGTGTTTTTTTATATTCTTATATGTTAACTTGTATATTAACAATGATCTTACTTTTTAGAGTTCAGATATGCTACAAAATGCTTTTTGCTTCTTTTTAGTATTCTTATTTGCTGGAAGTTAAACTACCTTTTAATATGTATTTTTGGAATTCTGATCTAAAAGAATAGTAAAAAAGCATACACATTGGGCTTCAAATTAATATTTAAGCGAGGAATAACAAAAAGCTGTCGATATCTGACAAATTACAGTAAAGGAAGGTGGATGTAGTAAACACCAAAACAGATTTAATAGGCGGCTCAAACTTGAATCTACTTGTTTCGAACAATCCTCCTTCATCTCCACTCTGTTTCCTCTGCAATCAAACATATTTTGTTGTTTATTTCATCTCCTCTCCTGTGCTCTAATTTGTCGGATTTCCATTATACCTATGTTTTTCCTCGCTTTCCTTGCTATCTCTAATGTATATATTTTGCTTTATTTTTGACAAAGATTATTAAAATGCATATTAAGGGCTATCTTAGCGAAACACTCTGTAAATTAGCTATATTTTTACTTTTCGAAATGTTTACATGGTTAGTACATTAGTTTAAGTTTAGTAATTATGTTGGTAACCTATTTAATGGAATATTAACAGAAATTGGTTACCAAATATTGTTTATTTGTTGTATCTGTATGCCCATAGAATGTTGATGAACCAAAGAAATATTTATCAATTGGTTATATCAAATAGATTTTTCAAACAAATCGATTGCCGATTGCATTAACTTGTTGTATTTGTACATCGATCGAGTGTTGATGAACCAACAAAGTTTTTATAAATTTTTTATATCCAATAGATTTATTAGTATCAAACAAATTGATTACCGAATTTTATGAACTTGTTGTTATCAACATTATAATGCGAGATATTTTTTTAGAAAATAGAAAGAGTGTTGATGAACCAAAGAAAGATTATGTCTAATATTATTTGTTATGTACCTCAAATTAATTTAAGGATTCCAAGATATACTTCCCATCAAAGATTTATTCATATGTGCCATTTTTTCCAGTGCTCCAAGATTCCGATTGCCAGACATTCCTAGTGAACCATTTATCATGGTTGGAGCTGGAAGTGGAATTGCACCTTTCCGAAGTTTCTGGTTAGAAAGGGATGCCATGAAGCACAAATCAATGGACAATCATTCAAATACAACTTTTGGCAAAATGTACTTGTTCTTCGGGTGCCGACAATCTACAGTGGACAATTTGTGCTCAGAAGAAATCGCTACCCTTGTTGAAAAGGGAGTCATTACGAAAGTTTTTTACGCTTTCTCAAGAGAACCAGGACAAGATAAAGTAAGTTGAAATGTTTGAAGATTTCAAAATCAGTTTTTAATGAACATTCATTACATACCACAGTGGGCCTGAAGACCATGATCTTTGGCCAAAAGTCAAAATTATATTTTCAGCTAAAATATGTGTAGGCAGTTTTAATATCGCCCAAATTAAGTATTCATAATCATTCCAAACATTATAATTTACTTTTCGGACCGACCAGAGTTCAATGTAGTGAAAAATATGTTTAAAAAAAAACATTTTTAATTTAACTTTTAAATTTATATTTCAGAAATACATATAGGAATTTCACTTTACTGTTGCATTTTTATCAGAGTAATTAGTCTGAAATTATAGTGCAATTTTTCAATTTGTTGGATTAGTTGATACTCTTGACAAACTTATTGTTTATATCTTATCATTTGACATTTTACAATGTTTGAATCACTTTCGAAACTTATCTCCAAAGAGTTTCACGAGGTAATTAGCTAAACTTTTTTTGTTGTCTTCTTTGATGTTTCTTCTCTCGAAAAAACTTGCCCCATTTTGCCCATATTGCAAAGGTGGACTAAATATACCGAAAAACAAAATTTATGTTTTTTTTTCATGTTTTCGCGTTATTTAGTAATTAATTCGCGTTATTTTGTAATATTACTTCGGAAATATAATTTGCTTTTCATTTTTAATATGAAATTACGAAAATTTTCATTGCTATATTTAATTATTTAAACGTACTATATTATTTTATTTATTTTTTTTGCTCTCCATATTTCAGCCGCCATTTTGGGTTTTTTTGGGGGGGATATTTTTAACGCATTTCAAAATTTCAACTATGAATTCAATTTACCTGCTCATAAAAAACCCCAAATTTTGAGACAAATTTTATCGAAAGACTAATTTTGGCCGCGAAACCTTGGATGCTTGCCCACTGTGCGTACTTATGAATCAACATCGTCAATTTATTTTAGTTATAGTTTATTAAAATACCATACCCGGGGCCTCCCTGGCCGAGCTGTATCGCCCGATAAACTCAGTGTGAAGGGTGGAGGTGGCGGGTTCGAATTCCGTAGTAACTCTGGATGTATTCTTTGTGATGTCCTTCTCTAAATTGTTTTATCTGTCCAATTACTTGACAAAGGTTTATAAGCCTAAACTATGCAAATGCAAGTAATTTCAATAAAGCAATAAATTAAAATACCAAGAAAGACACTATTTTTGACAACGTAGAAACAGTTAGCTTAATTAATAACTGTTAGCAGTTAGTTATTAAAACAGATATAAGTACAACCAATTAGTATTAATTACTGGTGGTACTTTATAAAACCTTGTTTCGTTTAAAAATGCACGTGTCGGTTATTATTATACATAACTGGCAATTATATGAGAGTAAATCGATATATATGAGACATTTCGATATCAACATATATGAGAGTAAATCGATTGAGATCCCCTTAATTTGTTCATAGATGCTGGTCAGTTCAATTTTAAGAGATGCATATTAACTAGTAAGAATAATAATTAAATAAATTAAATGCAACATAATTTTAAGGCAAAAAGTAATCTTTCCAAATTCGTCCACAACTTCGGAGTTATTTTATACGAAAATAACTACGGAATCAGTATCAGATAAAATTTGTCAACTATAATATCTAAGTTCTCAACGAACTATAATAAAAGTGGATATCCATATCGATTTTCTGCTTATTATTATGTTGGCTATTGTCTTAGTTTTTGTCGAAATTTTTAATGAAGTTACTTTAAAAAAATTTTACATCTTTTTTTTTAAAAAAAGGTATACCCATGGCTCCCGAGGTCCTTGAAAAGTTTTAATAGTGGTAGTGAACATAGGTTAATGCTAAAAGATGTTTTTTTATTTAAATGTACCACTTTATAGTTAAGTGGTTTAAATTTTCATGCATATATACCTTCTTTGGAAAACAATTTTTAGTGGTGGTTACCCTAAAATTAAAATATCGATATTTGTTTTATTTTTGTTACCACTTTTTAAATTTTCAAGACCAGGGGGAACCCTGTTTACCTTATTGTTATTTATTTTATGATGTTCCTAGCTTTATTATCCCTTTTTGAAAGAAAAAAAAACAGAAATTTTTGGCTAATAGTAAGTGTGACTCTCTCAAATGAACCAAACAAGTCAATTGATTATTTGCAATTCGAGTAGAAGTAAAGTAATTATGCCTTATCATGTGATCTAATCAGATTTAATTGAATACCTGTACTCCACGCCATACCTGTACGTACTTGATTTGAATTTTAATCAATAAATGACACGATTTGCCTAAGATGACGTCATTTGTATACATCCAATTACTGTATTTCTTTTTTCAAATTAAATTTTAATTCTATCTTTGAAAGAATTTAATACATTTCCCCCCATATTTCATAAACTACTTTGCAATATCCTTGAAACGCTGAAGGCATGGTTTCTTAGGAGAGATCTGAGTTACAAAACGTCAACTTGAAGCTAACCCCTGATTGGTCAATTTGTGAGTTAGACAGCATACGTCATCGAAAGCTCAGATTGAACGACGACTGACGTCCGAATCAACTGCAGTTGGATTGCAACGTAACGTTAACAACAGAAGCAATGGCGGACAACATCCAACAGAGTATTGAAATCAGCCAAGATTTTGATTTAAACATTAAACATAGCTTCTTCTTCCTCTTCATTTAGCTCAGCTATAATGCGTTTTTTCTTGGACAAAGTCATTATTTGTTCTCTGAAGCCCTGGTCGACAATAATAAAATCAATACAAATTCAAAATAAATATTTGTTTACCTTATTAACGCATGCGCAATGCGAGATAATGTCTGCGTTGAACCGACTACTCACGCTGAGCTAACAAACCACTATTTTGTTGGCGTCAGGGTAACGTCAACTTGAGGCTGACGCCCAGATAAGGCACTTGTCCTAAGAAACCACGCCTTAAGGCCTGCAATATTCTATTGACGAATTCTATTTTCTTTAAAAGGAAATCTATTTACCATACATCAGTGAAAATAACTTCCTCCTAACTATTTTAATGTGATTATATTTTTTATGTTATCAGGAGTATGTGCAGCACAAACTGGAAGCTGAACCCCAGATAGTGCTGGATGTCTTAGAGAATGATGGTCACATCTATGTTTGCGGAGATGCAGTGATGGCTGCCGATGTGAGAGCCACTATTAATAAGATACTTGAACACAGTGATAAAATACACAGTCTTGATGATCTTTTGGTGAGTTCACTTATATATTTTCTACAAAAGAATCATAAAAACTATTCAATATTTCTCACTTTTGGTATGCTCGAAAAAAATTTCTAGTTAAATTTAAGACTATTGCTACAATCACAACCGATCTTCCTTATGCAGAAATAATTATTAACCCACTTACTCTTGTAGTGTTTAGCTCTATCGCTAGTTCGTTCCATCGGAAAAGTGACCTTATTAAAATCATATTAGTTGGGACGAGACGTCTTTAAAAAATGCAGTAATCAATATTTACAAATAAGAATAAGTAGATATCAATATTCGTAAGTATTATTGCAAAATTCAGTTCGTAACAATAATATTCTTTCAGTTTGTATAGATTCAATCGTTCTGTCTTTTCTTATTCTGCCTAACGTAAACGATAAATTTGTACAATTTGCCGGTTTGAGAGCTCTTGCTTTAGTCTCTATGGCTACATGCAAGCAACTTACCATCAGACGACAGTTCCGATCCAATTGCGACAGCTATATTAACACCATGGATACAAAGTTTCCTTTATGTAATAATTTAATATCGGTGGATTTTCAAGAACCTTTTTCATATTTTATAAATTTTACAAGAATTATTGTAAAATGTAAATGCAATAGTGCTATGAATATATATTTTAAAATATTGAAAAAATATTGACAAATCCATTTGTACACGTGTATTTTAATACGTTATATATTTTATATCTTCGCGCGATATATTTTTGTTTTGTGAACCTGGAAACTACGATGCATAATTAGTTTGTTTCTATTCTACATGGTTTCATGCCTGTCTTTGTGTTCAGTAAGAAATATATAGTGAAGGAATTGAAACATTTATGAAAGAATATAGAATCAGCCTTGACGGGCTTGACATACTCGAAATAGAATGGAAGGAATAGTTGCTAACGTAAACAAATACCACGTGTCAAACAGCCAATCGGGATCGAAGTACCCACACTACGCCATTTGCAGTTATCCCATTGAAATTTTTGTTAAGCACATTTTATTATTGTTGGCTTAAACTGGGAAGGAGACACCTTTTACTGAGTAAAATAAATGGAATGGTAATTAAAGGACATTGAAACACTGATCTAGTTCAGCCTCTGACTTCTACATCTCTTTATCAAAAGAAATTTTAAAAAAAACTTCTGACGTTGCAGCAGATAGCTTCGTCATCTAGCTACCCATCCTGAAACACCAGAAAGGGTAAACAAACGATGAGCCCAATGTCAATAAGGCTAATTAAGGACGATGAGGAGAATTAATTATCGACTATATCAACCTTCATCTATCAAAAGGTACCTCCAGATGGATTCAAGTTAACATATATACTAGTGATTTGTTATATAATATTTGCAGTGGTAGTTATGGCCACAACGATTTCTAAATTCCCGCTTCTCAGACTAGCTTAGGTTATTAATACTATAATAACAAAAGTTTTCTTTTAATTTCCTTAGGAAACTGGAAAATATCACGAAGATGTATTTGGAGTTTTGAAAAAGAAGCCCAGCATTGCCTGAAGAAAAAAAAGGCAAAATAATGAAGTCAATTTTGATTGAATATGATTCAACAACCATTCATATTCAAACATGAAGCTTAAAAAGACTGTATCAAAAACGTGTGTTGTATAAAATAATTATATATATTTTACTCTGTGATATAAGTTTCCACATAAATAAATGTACGTATGTAGATAGCCTGTTATATACTCCAATGTAAAATAAAATAAAAATATTTAAATGAGTTTGTTCATCTTTTTTTTGTTATTGCAAGTTTAGCGATATTTTTTAAAGTTTAATGTCATTTCATATTTTCCATTACTATGGCTGTAGTTCATTTTGATTTTCAATGCATATAATTCGAAGTAATAAGGTTAGGATTTTTCAATAGCATAACCGTTTAGTTTAATTTTTAAGAATATTTACTTTTTATTTTTATTATTTATTTTATTTTGTCTGTGTATTAATATGACAAAGATCTGTTGAAAAGAAATTTGGGTCCGTTAACGGACCCTTCACTAAATATCTTTTCATAAAAACGGACCCTTCACAGATTTGTTTATCTTCATTATTGTTTTACTAATCGAATAAACAATTCCGGGGGGGGAGAGAAAGACGGTTCAAGACAAACTAATTTTCCCTAAGTTTAAATTCCAAATGTAGTATTCTAAGAAAATATTTCTACTTTCACAAACATCGTGTGAACATTCTTATTAATATTAAATCATAATTTTTTTGTGAATAAATAATTGATCAATTTATATTTATTCATGAAATTAATTAATAGACCATTATGTAAATAAAAATTAATTTCTGTCAATTTTTAAAATAAATTATTATAAATTTAAGAATTGGTTAAGTTTACTTAATGCTTAGCATATTAAAAGTAATACAATGCTAAGTTGTGTTATTTTAAATACGTCAATTGAAATTATTAAAAATGTGAGTGATTTTGCTTCTATTATTCGCCCGAAATAAATATTCTGTGCTGAGCAGTATAGGCTAAATACCAAATCTTTGTATGTTGCATTTCTAATTTAGTAGCAGCAATTGTTGAGCAGAATCTTGTATCTAGTTACAATTTAAAAACTTGAAAAGGTTTTAACAATTTCTGCAATAACAGGACCCTATTTGCACAAATTCACAAAAGCAGGACCCTGGTTGCAAGAATGTGACTTAACGCTAATGCTATATTCACAAATTATGAATAGTTTTTTCACAATTTTACAAAAGCAGGACCTTTCACAAAATGTCTGGACAGACCCCTGTATGATATTGGCTTGCATTAAAAGATCTGACGTGTGCTCACTTATTTAGATAAAAACAAGTACGTTCTGTTCCCTTCTTTTCAGAAGATTCAAGACAGAGACCAAAGCTCACCCCGGCAGGATATATATATTCATATTCATATTGGGTATATTCATATTTTTCAGGTATTCATATTGAGCATAAATCACAATTTTACAATAATATCTAGAGCTTTTCGATAAATATTTCGATATTCAATTACTCGCGTATGGGCCTCCAAATTTAAGACCATATTATTTAAAAGTTAAATCTATAACCTGAGATCAGAGAATTGATTTTCTTTCTGATAAACTAGACAAGTATAAAATTTGCTGGAAAAGTGCTTAGCCTACTTTTCCAGCAAATTTCATACTTGTCAAGTTTTGGCGACAATAGTTAATTACTTTTAAGGTTTTGCAAAATTTCAATTTCTTGTTACTTTAAGTTCAATTTTAAGGCCATGCCAAATTTACACCACACATATGTTATTTAAGCCTTATTTATTAGCATGTATTCACAGACATATATACCTTTATGGTTCACTGTTAGCTCAAGTAGATTTATGGTCAAAGTCAATAGCATTATTTCGAACATTTTTAAATGACCTCTTACCCTTGATACAAAAGTCCACTGGAAGTATTTATGTTCTAATAGTTAGGGTTAAAATAATGGAACAAATTAATGATCAGAGCCGAAGTTCACTCATTTCACAAAATGTACCACTTCTTGTAAATAGATTAGTTTTAAAAAAAAACATTTCGAAGGATCTTTAGTTTTGACAGATCAAAATCGTGAGAAAAAAATTTTCACAAAATTTTAAAAGCAAATGAAGAACATGCATTAAGAACGCATGCTAAAAATTTCAACAAAATCAAAAGCGTCATGTGTCCAAACTTGTCTGATCCTTAAAAAAACTTAACTCTTAAATAGCAATGTCAGATGTATCAATAGCTACAAGTACGAAATTGTACTTTCCGTCATTCATTCAACTCATTCAATATCATTGAATTCAGAGTAAAAAATGTATGAGAAACAATCCAAGAAGTATAACTAGGATGCTAATTTCTTTTTTAAGAAAAACTTAGTTTACTATATTCTACAATCAAGTCTTTCATTTATTTGTTCTGTTTACTTAGTTAGCTCATTTATTTAAGTTTTATATTTATTTATTTAATTACTTTATTTATTTGTTTATATTTATTTAATTAATTTTATTTATTTACTTAGTTATTTCTGAACTTGACATTTGAATTTGAAAGCAAAATTTTCCTTTTAAATCTTAACTTCTTTTAATCTAATAAACTAAATAACGTAGATTATTATTAAAAGAGTGGATAAATCAAGCATAGATAACAGCAATAATAAAAAGCGTTTAAATTTGTCTCCACATTTTTACGTCTCTCAAAATTATTCAGTCACATTCTTTATTATGCTTGCTTTGATTCTCTTTTTGCTCCTCTTCAACTTCGGCACTTGGTGAATTCTTCAAAACCTCTCCTTTCTCTTCTGCGTCTTCAATTGAGCTTCGATCAGATGACCTTGATGAAGCATGTTCAATTGTAGGTAATTCGTCACTCGTGTTGCTATCAACAGCCCTCATTTTTTCATTTCGTTCCTCGTCATACTCCTCCTCAGCTTCAGCAATCGAGGTTTTAATTGAAACCTCTCCTTTCCTTGATGAAGATTCAATTGTTCTTTTGTCATAATGACCTGACGATGCAAACTCATCTAGTTCTTTACTCGAGTTTCTGTCTGCAACTTGCAATTTTTCGTTTCGATCCTCTCCACTCTTAACCTCAGCTTCAGAGCTTTTTGATCTCTTTAAAACCTCACCTTCCTTTTCTGAGGTTTCAACTGTGCTTCTATCAGATAAACTTGGCGAAGCGCATTCAGTATCGGATAGTTCTTTACTCGCATTGCTATCTGCATCCAGCGTTTCTTCGCATCTATCCTCTTCATTCTCCTCTTCAACTCCAGCACCTGAGACTTCGCTTGATACCTCTCTTTTTTCTAATAAAGTTTCTATTCTGCTTCTGTCAGACAGACTTGATGAAGCAGATTCTGTCTCGGGCAGTTCTTTATTCAATCTCTTATCTGCAGTCAGTAAACTAAGCGGTATATGATGGAGCTTTCCAGAAGGAGAGAGAGTCATTCTAGCAGATCGTCCCCTCTCAGTCTGGCTTTTCAATTCCCGAGCAAAGACGCTTTCGGATCGGGCTTCATCATCATCTTCCTCGAAAAGACTTTTTACTTCAGAAAGATGGAACTGAAGTAACTTGTCACCAGAAATAGCCTTTAACTCTTGTGATGTCTGGTGCAACTCCTGCATAAGCTCTGCAGTTATTTGCTCTGGGTTATCAACGTAGATGTCTAAAAATTTTTGATATACTCTGTGTTTCGTGAACTCCTAAAAAATAATTAACTCAATGATTATATCATATTAGTTTCTTCCGAAGAATAATGGGTATAACTATAAATCATCTCACAAATCGTTTCTATAGATTAAATCTATGTGATATATATGTATATTAAATGATAATTCAAAAATTTTTGATTTGTGAGTAAATTAAAATAAACTTTTGAAACTCAAATAAACTCAATTCTCAGATTTATTATATTTATTTCAGCATATACCTATATTGACCAAAAGCAGTCAAAATGACTGCATTGTGAAAGAATAATTAATGAGTAAAGAAATTTGTTTAAAATTAATTTTTATATTATATACAGTTGTATAACGAGTTATCAGTAAATATTAACAATAAAAAAAATTATATGTTGTGCAAAAAGTCACAAAGTTCCAAGAAATTGTGTCATTATACACATCATTTTTTTTCTAATTGAAATTGAAAAGCAGTCAAAATGACTTCCTTGGTCAATCTAGTGTTAAAGATCTTTACTGGAACTTTAATGACACTTAACACACAATTTTATAAAAAAAAGTACAAAAATGCTCAGCCGCAAACTGCAACAATATTTTTAAATCAGAAATGCTAATTAAAGATTCCGAAATCAGACCTCTAGCCCACTTTTTCACTGGCGATGCTATTTTATCAGATAAATTCAATTAATTCTTCATAAATTTCAATCTTTTATTAGTAGGGGAGAGTGGGGTCAATTGTAACATTTTTTACTTAACTATTTTTAACTAACAAAAAATCCAATATATTATTAGTATTAATTGACAGACGAGTAAAGTAAACTATTCTCTACTAGAAAAAATAATAATTTCCTTATTTTAAATGTTATTATATTAGTTATTAACAATTTTTGACAGTCGTGCACTTGTTACAATTGTCCCCACTTACGGGGTCAATTGTAACAGTTCATAAATTCAACTAAAACATAGTTAATTATACATATTATCATAGTTGTGATATATTTTTTTATTGATCAAAATAGTAGTGATATTTTAGGAGTAAAAATAATAATGAGCAGAGACCTAAAGGGTTAAACTTTTAACTTTAAGGGGTTAAAAATTTTAATTTATGCTGTGAAAGGTGACAAATAAAATAATGCACATGCAACATAATATAAATGATATAGGAAACTATTGGTGGTTCTTAAAGAGTTAAGTAATGGTTTGTAAACATAAGATTATTTATTTTCAGCTGTTACAATCGTCCCTTTACTTATTGTTACAATCGTCCCCAAGACGCCATTTCAGCTTCATTTGTTAAAAACATTGCTAGTTAATTAACAAAACTAATTCTTTTTTTATTGAAATGTAATTAAGGTGTCCACTTACATATTCGGTTAATAATTTTTATTTGTTTAAACAAAATTACTTTGTTACAATACAATAATCTAATACAAAAAAAGTACTTACGTAGCTTGAAAATATCTTTTGTGATGTAACTCTTTCAAAAGTACATAAAAATGGTTGCCAGCAGGGGTGTACATGTAGATTTATTAAATACACCTTGTGCGCCATCTAGGAACCAAATCTAGAACGCTACACTCGAAATTTTTGCTCTGTTACAATCGTACCCTGTTACAATTGACCCCACTCTCCCCTACTTATAATTTAATTTATAATTTTAAATTATAACACTGCAAGCAATTGGCGCTTAGTCTTTTCTCTCTCTATGACTGTTCAGAACTCTGATTTCTTTTTGCTGCTGCAATTCAGTCAAAGGCGTTGCAATTGCAGCAAATAGTTATTTTTACTTTTTTTCTATAACATGATTGTATTAACGTTATTTTTCCTTTTTCTTTCCTTCTGTTCCAAAACTCATGATGAAAATTACTTCCCGACTTCAGAAATCAAGATGAAAAGGTAAAAGGACCATTCGGGACCTAAAAGCCTTGAGCAATAATATAACTAGGTCCATGAAGACGCTAAGAACAAAAGAATTAAATAAAGAGGCATTACTATCTCAGGACTCCCAAAGGTCAGCCAAAATAATTAAAGAGACCGTAAAATTTATATCATAAAATTTTATTCTTATTTTTCTTTTTTTTTCGAATATATCATGGAATATTTCTGGTCGCAGCCCTAATTTGAAAACTCAAATACATAAATAGATATCTGATATTCAATGCGTAAACATTATGTAAATCGAATTGGTGGCTGAATCATAAAAATTCCCACTTGATTTGCTTATTAATTTACTACCTCTATTGGAAGCCCCACTATCTGGTACGAAAAGTGATTTTTTCCCGCCTATTTTGTTCTTTGATCTACGTTTTGGGATTTCACAATTTTAATCATAAATTAGGGCTGTAGGTTTGTTGCGGCGCGAATTTCCGCGATGTTTTCCACGAAATTGTTATCTTTTTTCCAAAAATCCGCGAATTTCTCAATATGTCTTAACTTGCGCGAAAATTGCTTAAAATTTGATTCTTTTTTTTTTCATTTTTTATTTATTATTTTTATTAAACAGAATTTTTTATTTTCCTGAACCTTAAATTGAACATGTAAAATTGATTAGATATTTAGGGGAGTGAATCAATAGCAAAATGATGTGAAAATAGTTCAGAGATAAGAGATAATCACAATCTTGTCAACTAAGGTGGTCTTTCTACACTTAGGGAGGGTAATTACCTTCCTGAAGTCAGTAAGAGTACAAAAGAAATTGGAATCACAAAAGAAGGAAAACGGTCTAAATCAAATCTTTGACAGAAAAATTGTTGCGCATACTATACTGGGCAATGAAATTTCTACTGCCTTTCTACACATCCAGTTAATTTTTTCTAGGCGGCTTCTTGTGATTTCTTAAATATGGGTCAGTTTCTTAGATAAAGGGGGGGGGGACTAGTAGTTAGTAGGGACTTGTAACAAGTAGTTTGAATGTAGAATGTTTGAGTTTTCACGGCAATTACTTCTTACAAAGCAGCGGTCAAGGAATTGAGCGTTGGTAAAGGAAAATTGATCGAGTTTTGGAAATCAAAGACCGGAACGTTCCAAAATAGGCAAAAGTGAGAATTCGAAGTTTGTCGGTGTCTAAAAACAGCGTTGACGCTAAAAGATCGTTTTCTAAGTATAAAAATGTATTAAGTGATGAAAGACGAAGGATAAATGACAATAATATGACCAAGCCAAAATTCTGTTCATTTAAATAAAAATATTAATATTGCTTGAAATTCAAAGAAATACTTTTGTTGTGTATTTTTAAGCTTTTTTTATTATTTGCGCAATTTCTGTCTTTTGCATCATTTATATAATAAATTTTTTTATGTTTAGAATTTGTGTAATTTTCAAAATTTCCTGCGAATTTGAGGTCTTTTTTCCCGCGACAAACTTGCAGCCCTAATCATAATGTAGACGTGCCTTTCTGCCAGAGTTGGCCAAAAATGTAATCGATTACATTTTTTGATTACAGTAATCAATTACTTGTAATCATGATTACAATTTTCAAAAATTTTGATTACAGCTGTAATCATGATTACAATATTGATTACAGTAATCAATTACTTGTAATCGTGATTACAAAGTTTGATTACAGCTGTAATCATGATTACATAGTCGATTACAGTAATCAATTACTTGTAATCATGATTACAATTTTCAAAAAATTTTGATTACAGCTGTAATCATGATTACAATTTTGATTACAGTAATCAATTACTTGTAATCATGATTACAAGTAATTGCGATTACAAGTAATCACAACAAAAACGATTACAAGTAATTATGATTACAAGTAATCAAAATATATGATTACATGTAATTTGATTACATGTAATTTGATTACATGTAATTATGATTACATGTAATCTAATTACACGATTACAAGACTATTGTATTCTTATAAATGATTATATTTTACAGTAGATAGTAGAATGTATTTTATAATGATACATTTTGCACGTATTAACATGTACTGCATTTTGTACGTATTTGTATACGTACAAATGAATGTAACTGAAATGTATGTACATATGATTTTATCTAGTGCATATGTTCAGACATTTTAGTATCACACACATGTACATACACTTATATTGTAGGTATAAAATATATGTACGTATGTATATAGATAATAATTACGTATGTATGTGCAAACAATGTAGGCATGTACATTTATACACAATGAATATATGCATTTTATGCAAATATTTGTGTATGTAAAATGTATATCTATGTTCATGTACGCATGTATATACAAGTACTTGTGTTTGTACGAACATACATACATTGTCTGTACAATGCATGTCCCATGCATGTATGTGCAATTTATTTATGAACAGTACAATATATGTATGCATGTACAATATAGGTATATCTGTAGGATGTACAATATATGTATGTATACATGTACATGATATGCATGTCCAGTGTATTTATGTACATGTACATAATATGTTCATGCTCAATGTAAGTATCCAAATATGCATAATACATTTGTGAACTATTGTACGTACATTGGGCGTATTTATATTTCACATATATTCATACATGCATTCGACATGCATAACGTACGTACATACACACATTTGAGATGCATATATTGTACAGATGTATATACATATAGCGTACAGATGTATATACATATAGCGTACAGATGTATATTCATATAATGTACATATGATGAAATGAACATATAATGTTCATATAATGTACATATGTGTGTACATATACAGTACGTATGTGCATAAATATATTGGGCATAATTCTTTCGTACAAATTTTACATGTGTACATGCATGCTATCCCTATCTATGCATATGGTGCAATGTATATATGTACAATGAATGTATCCACACATGTACAATACACGTATGTTCCATGTATGCATATCCATATGTACTATATATGCACGTACAATACATGAATGTATGTACATACATTGTACATGCGTACATACATTACACGTATACATATGTACATTACATTTATGTCTAAATATGTGTACAATGCAATAAATAAAATGCATGTAAGTTAACTTTTAATGACTCAAGCAAGTTAAATGACAAAATCAAACGATATTTAAATTTAGTTTTCAGCTTTAATTGTTCTATATCATTTTGAAATTCTCTGAATAAAAAATTATTTTCAGGTATTTTCATGAAATGTTTGACAATACAGATTTATTTTTTTTATAACATAATGCATGATTCATAGAAATTTTTTAAATGGTAAGAAAAACGGTAAATTTTATGTGTGGAATTAATATTTAGAAATTCCAAATAAAATTATCGTTTGCTTTCTAAAAAATATGAGGTCGAGTTTCATATACCTTAGAATAATTTTAAAACAAATTTTAATAACTTTACTCATATAAATTTTTTTAATGTATGCACAATGTATGTGTATATTGTAATTACATATATTTAAATGTACGCACGTATTTGTACATTACTTGTAATTATGTACATGTATACGTTGTATGCACATGCATACATTGTGCATATAACTATTTTTTTGTACATCCATGCATTACATGCGCATAAGTATTAACAAAGTATGTAGTTATACAAGTACATACGTAAGTTGTACATAAGTACATACTTTGCGTGCACATATATCGATGTACATATAAATATGCATGTATACATGTACGCATTTTATTTACGCAACTATGTGCATATATTGTACCTTTAAATAACATTTTTACATATTGTACGCAAATACGTACAATTTTATATACAAACGTACATTGTATATACGTGCTATTATCGTAAATTTATACAATATATGCACTTAAGTACATAAAAGCATGCAAACGCATAAACATTATTTTCATATACGTTCATACATACATTGTCTATGTATACAAAGATACAAAACATTGCCTTTTTGTACAAACTAACATACATGCGTACATGTATCATAAATGCATAATTATATGTACTAAGCATATGCGCATTGCATTAAGTATATTACAATATAATTATGAATATTGTACGTACAAACAACGTTTGTGCATACATTGTATGTATAGGAATCGCAAATTGTACGTTCATGCGTGCGTACATTCTATGTACATAAAAATATGTAAACACATGAATACTTACATAAAAAATTTGACTATAGTATACAATCGTAATAACTTGTAATCGTATAGTTTGATTACAAGTAATCACAATTACATGTAATCAAATTACATGTAATCATGATTACATGTAATCATATATTTTGATTACTTGTAATCATAATTACTTGTAATCGTTTTTGTTGTGATTACTTGTAATCGCAATTACTTGTAATCATGATTACAAGTAATTGATTACTGTAATCAAAATTGTAATCATGATTACAGCTGTAATCAAAATTTTTTGAAAGTTGTAATCACGATTACAAGTAATTGATTACTTGTAATCGTGATTACAAGTAATTGATTACATAGCTGTAATTATCTGTAATCAATTACAGTTGTAATCGATTACTGTAATCAACGGCCAACTCTGCTTTCTGCAATGTTAAATGCACCCTGTTATGTTAAATGTACCAAAATTTACCCTGCAAAATCAATATATTGTTTATCTTTGAAAATATATATAGATGCGTACCCTTGGGCAATATTTTGCTAGTTTCCAATTGAGATCAGCAACCAAATTATAAAGATTGCTCGCATCGTCCCTGGCAGCTTTTCTCTTGCCACGCTTTCCATCAAGTTTGTCCAGAATGAAGACTCCGGCAGTGTAAGATCCTAGTTCAAGATACGTATCAAAATAGGCTATACCTAACACTATCCAGAAAAAAATGGCCACCGAGTAAATGGAATATAAGTAGGCATCTGTAGCCCTTGAAGATACCCCTATACATAAAAAATTTAAAAAATGTGTATACGGTTCATTCTCAAAATCAATTGTCATTTGGAAATTGAAAAATGAAAATATATGTTGTAAGAGAAATTGGAATTTTTAAAAATAAGCACATATACTTCGTCTACACTAATTTTCCTCCTGCAATTATTTTTGCCATTTTTATTCATTGTATTTTTAATTTTCTTAGTTGATACGTTTTGGTCAAATACTATGAAGATTGTCAAGTGACTTACCATAATTCCTATTACTTTTTGGTATTCTAGATAAAAGTACTTCATTATAACCTAAAGATTAATGATAATAAACTACTTCGAATTTTTTAAGAAAAGAATCTTATAAATTATGTTTGTAACCAAGTTTGTCATAAGTGTCACCATATAGGGTGACACATAAGAAAAGTAATAAACAGACATTTTAAACAACATAAATCCACGAAATTGATTAATTCTATTAAATATAAGAAATTCTTTTTGACATTTAGATTAAAAATCTAACAAGTTAAATTAGCCTATTGAATAAATTAATACATTTTAAAAAAATTTCAACCATTGGAGGTATCCAAGCCAATGGCTGGACTGTATCACTGAGTGGAATAAATCAATAAATTTTCATAACTTTGTGGTTGTGAATGGCAACTAGTTGCTTGTTTTTATTCCTCTAATAGTAACGTATTTCTATTGATCCATCTGTAAATGATTGATCATAGATGGATTACCTGTAGAGAGGTAAGTGAAGTAACACCAGCTTGGACATATTTTATGATAACAGACACGACATTGTGAAAAGACAACCACTAAAAACTTCTGCTTCATTGGCTCTACATAGAACATTCAAAATAGCAGCCTATCTTTATCTTCAATGCTAAACAACTATTGCAAGTGTTGCCATACTCAAACTCTAATTTCGTAGTTTAAGAATTGTGAGTAAGTGTAGGATAACGACATCATATCAATTTGCAGACAGTGGGCAAATCACTGGTTATTCTTTAAATAAGTTGGTAACACCCGAGTCATAATTATTAATACATTGGATTCATAATTGTGTCTTAAAGCATGTAAATTCAGCGTATACTAAAAACATCACTACATTTTTAATTAAAAACTTATATGCATCTGGAAAATTAGTTTTTGATATTTCTACGCTACCTTTCTTAATGTCGCAATTTAATACGCTACGTAGCGCAAACGATTGTTCTTTTTTGTAGCTCTTTGAATTATTAGATTTAAACCATCAGGTTGAAATTTAGGTAATGAGCAAGCCTTACAGACAGTTATTATCAGGTTCATCCTTGGAAAAAAGAAACAAGAAGAAATGCCCTACCTGCTGCATAATCACCAAATCCAATGGCGCAAAGCGTGATGACGGAAAAGTAAAGTCCTTCTGTGTATGACCAGTCTTCGAATCTCTCGAAAATTGCTGCTGGACCGAAGACGAAAATGACACCCATGGCAAGAAAGAAGAGAAAAATGGTCAAATACAAATCGATGTTCAGATGATGGCATGGCTCGGGCAAGTATCTAAACTTAAAGTCTTTCACTCTGTTCAACACTCTTCTGAAAAAAGATCTAATTTGAAGACCCAGTAGGCGAATCATTATGAACTGAATCGGATATCCGATAATAAGGTAAATTAGGAGCAAAAGAACGCCCCAGCCCTGTGTTGGCTCGGCATTTCCATAACCTTCAGAAAGAAAAGCCATAAAATATCAAAACCTAATATGATAGAAGTTGAGATTACATGAAACCATAACAAATAAAAGTATGAAAGATATAATAAAATGAATTTAGCACCACGTTTTTGAAGTAGAGCAAAACTGAGAAATTAATTTTATCTAAGACCAAAGCTGAACTTGATTGTAACCGTCTGTATACAAGCTAGTTTATTACCTTAATTTAAGAAGGTGGAACGTCTTCACTCCAATAATCCAGAGGGCGCTAACAGTTCAAAGAAACTAATCGTTTTTATTACATAACATATTGAATTTCGAAATTAAGAAACGTGATCTAGTTGTTGTAGCAACAAAAAAAGTAAGACAAATCATACTAGGAATTGAGTTAGTTGATATTTCAATGCTTTGGAGAGCGTTGTTTTTACTATATATTTGGAATGTTTTCTACAGGGATATAAAGATTTTTATTTATTTTGCACGTACGATGTTCTAGGCTTTATTAGGATTAGAAACTATGCAAGATTAGAAGTCTTGGAATAGCAACGAAACGATAATGTGCCTTGGTAATTATTTAGTACAGAACAATATTTTTGAATCTAACAATGTCTGCTTCAAATTCTCGTCATTACTTTAAATGCCTTAAGATGTAAAGACGCATGAATGATTAATAGGAACGTCTCTAACTTATGAAAATTTTAGTTATTTAAGTTCCTGGGAATTCTCCTAGGAATTTTAAAAGCTAAATAGAAAGGTATTATTAGCTTTTAAACATAGTAAATTTTTTTTTATATTTTAAAGCTAATATCTTATTTCACAAATAGACTGTCCAGACCAAATGTAACCAGAAGTATTGACAAGTAGCACACATTTTCAACCATTTTTTGCATAAGCATTATCAACCTAGCCGAAGCAATATTGTTTTTGTGATAGTCTATTTGAGTATAACAAGATACGTAACAGTTAAGTTGCTGATCTAGTTCAGCCTTGGTCAGATCTAAAACAACAACACGGTGATAATTGAAGTTTATTTGAAAATTGGGGAAATTTTTTTTTGTTTTCCTCTCACAAATGTAAATTTATTGTCTATTTTTTAGTCTTCTTGAAAAACGTATTTTTTTCATTATTTTTTTTATTTTTTTTAGTTTTATATCTGTTAGTTCATTTATATCAGAATGTGTACCAAATTTCGAATAGCAAAAGATGAAGACAGAATTTGCTTGTAACATATACTATGGAAACCTTTAGGGAAAAATGCCTGCAATTAGAAACAAAAATTCTCAAACAGATAAATATAAAATCATTTTCTAAACTTTTAATCTGATAAAAAAAAATGAATTTTTAATTTTTACTATATTTTATTCTGCTATTATTTTTTCCATTATGTACCTGGTACTCCTTTTATGTCAGAATGTATTTCAAATTTCGAATGGCAAAAAAATGGAGAATTTTTTCTTTCAACATTTAGGAAACAATTGTAATTTGTATTATCATCTAACACATAGCTTCATTGAAACTTGAGCATTTTAGCTTGTCGAAAAATGTACCATTTCCAAGATAAGTTCTGATAAATAGTGATTAGGGAACGATTGAAACTCGTATTGCCATCAATGACAGAACTCCATTCAAAATTTTCATGCCATGTAGCATTGTAATGGAATAAACTAGTGGACTATGGGTGGCAGTTTTAGATTAATTCTTAAATGATGATCCTCAGACTATACTGGCTATTCTCTAAGCAGTCATTACCATAAATTTAGATCAGAGGGCAGATATTGGTATCAATCATCTGAGCTATAAACCATACTACCCAATCACCCCTGGACCCTCTGAAACACTATCGGAAAGAGTTTAATCCGAACAAATACCCAGCCTTTATCACGTGTAGGATCGAACCTCGGTTCAAATTACGATAGGGAAAATCTACTCACCACTCCTACAGGACGAATCGAAAAAATTGGCAAAGAAGGAAAATAAATGCAGAAACGTACTTTTTGATACAAATTAATTAATAATTTCAGACTTTTTAAAGCTTAATAAAACTTCTTAATGTTTCTACTCCAAAAACTGAACTTATTGTTAGAAGTTATACAAAAAAAAAATACTTATATCTAATTTATATGAGGCATCGAAGTTAGAGAAAATAGTTCGAGTCATCCTGCAGAAATAGTTCTAGTCATCGAGTCATCTTTAGACGCATTCTGATGTAGATTTTTTTTAATGAAAAAAGGAACTTCATTACCTATGGATCCAATTAAGAGCATCGCAAGCAAAATGCATTTTTCATAAGCTTCATACCACTTGGTTTCAATCTCCTTTTCATCGTGGAATGTATCAAAATGTTCTTTAGAGAAGCTATCTTCAATTTCTTGAAAACTGAACTTTTCTCTTAGGACCTCTACCATACCTAGAAAGGAGAAAATGCTTAATAATTCGCAAGAAGTACAGGTATGATAAAATATTTGCATGTAAAACTATGCTCTAAAATAATCTCCAAAGTTTAGGAAAAAGAGGCACAAACACGTGACACTGGAAAGAAATCACTCTCAATTTTTAGTCACACTGCCAAACATTTTGGAGCTTTTTGAACTATCACATCATTCGAACTTGCTGCCTTTAATGATTAAGCGTTTAACCCTTTTTAAAAAAATGAATTAACTCTTCCAACGAAACGCTTTCGGTCAAGTTTACCTGTGGTGATAATATCCCGCTATTGCGCTTTTGCAATAAATCTCGACATACTATGTTCGAAACGCTACATTGGTTAATACTGTGCTAGGTTAAACCCCTCTGATGTACAAATCAAAATTTAACTACTCCAAGCTATTCAACTTAGACGTAAACAAAATTCATTTTAACCCTTTATTACTAAATTTAGTTGAAGGTAGAGAGATTATTTTTGAACACTTTGTTGAACCTATTTTTTTGAAAATGTAATAGAGCCAATATTGATATTTTTTAATTTATCTTGATTTCAAGATGCGGTCAGATGATACCCTGGCTATTGTATTTAACACAATCAAGATGCGATATAGAAATGTCTCAACAATACATATGAATAAATTGGTGTTTTGATGAGCATGATTTGTTGGCTGGACTGATTGGTTTGCACGATAAGTACCATTGTAGTCTCCCAAGATGTGTACATTCGATCAATACACGCAATAGTCTACAAGAAGAAAGTAATTCAGTAACTGCACCAACGCTTAAGAAGATCGTTTGTCATGTAGTATAAAGGTACTGGGCATAGAAAGAATGTTTTGAGTAACTGAAAACATTTTTCAATGAATGAGAGAGCCCTCTCTGTGTAGAACTCGGTCACAAACTGAGAAGCATCCATAGGACTTTAAAAATAAATTCCGACCATAGAATGAATGGCGTTTTGCGTTTATCCAGTTTTCCTCTATCACTACCTTGCGCATATACCATCAATTCAGATTAACTCGGTACATGGTGAAAATCTCACGTTTCTAAGACTTATACAGATTCATCGCACAGACTTATACAGATTCATGTATCAAAAATTTAACATCCCAAAACAGAGGGCATAATTTTTAACATACAAAACAAAATATTTCAAATGAATTAGTTAAAGAAATTTGATAACTGTTAAACATTCAGAGGAGTTGTGTAAGCATTTACTCACTTTTAATTAATGCATGTGTTGTCATTCGACTTTTCAAATGTTTTTTTGATAAATATTTCCCATCCAAGAGTCCGAGAACAATAGATCCAAACAACAAATAGGATATCAATATAAAAAGCATTGCTAGAACTCGCCATCTGGCACCTTTTAAATATACAAAGAATTAAAACGGTTCAGTTATTCAAAATATATTCTATCTATTCCGCTCTAAAATTTCATTTTCTATAAGATACAATATTATGTAACGTAGAACATGAATATCTGATTCAGATGATCATAGTCTTCTGGCACTTTTAAAGACGCAAAAAATTTGATTAATTTTACTACGTATTTAAAATTTTAGCTTCACTAAGATAGAAGATTATGTAACGTAGCACATACGTTTCCATAGTCAATAAATTTTACATTTTTTCCCTAATATTTTTCCTGTGATAAAACTCTTATGTTTAACTACTTGATTTTTGGTTAAGCAAATTTAGCTTAAATTTTTTTAACAGCGTTTTGATAAATGATATAAACACATATGCGAATGTCATATATGTAAGTCATGATATAAACACATGTGATGATCACTCAGCAAAGTGAGGCCAACAATTATGCATAACTATACGGTTTTTGGTTTAACAAATTCGATTAAAAATGTCTTTAAAATGCATTTGATAAATGACATAAACGCCTGTATATAAGACCTGGTGCAATATTTAAAAATCAAGAAAGTATTTAAATTCTGTAAAATAATAATTAAATGTTTTGGCTGAAGGGCTTTGTTCAATAACAAGGTAAATCCATATTGTTACTGAAAGGTAAAATAAAATATAAATAGTCAATGAGTCTACATTAGTTTCTTCCACACTATTGGAATTGGATTTAACACAAATTACCTCTAAAAATATAGATTCTGGTAGAAGAAAATATTTTCTTTCGAGGGATCTAAACCATCATGCCAAAAGCACTCAATAAATTTTAAAAAAAGCGGTGGGAACTTATTTTGCAACATGTCGCTACATTTTTTTAAACCACACAGAAGGAAAATTCGACCCAATAGGTTTATAAGTGTTACGGATTTTTTTTTCTTTTCGGGACTGTGCAAAGCATTTTAATATCAGCCAATTAAAAACTGGGTCTGTAGTACTGCTAGGAGAGTCGTATACAATACATAAAATGGCTTAGCTTTTGGGGATATTTTTGAATACTGCTGTAAGTGCTATAAGTAGTATATAACAACTTAAAATTGTGGCTAAATGAGGCTTTATTCTTGCTCCTGTATTCTAACTCAATCAGAAAAATAATCTTTTTATCTACTGCAGTTGTATAAAATGTTATAAAACTCATTAATAACTAAATAAAAAATTGAGTGATAAGTTTAAATTTTGATGGGAAAAAAACATAATGCTTAACAGAAAAATTTGCGTTATTTTGATAAAAGTTTTCTAAAAATATAATTTTAGTTTGAGTGAAAAATAGGTTGCCCGTGAATTTGGTACTGTAGTTGGAGTACTGTACTGTACATGAAATATTTCCTTTTCGTTTAGCTTTTATATCGATTTTTTATTATAAAAGCTTAAGTCATTTTCCTTATTTTCTGAAAGAACATAAAAATTTTCCAAATAAGAAAGGCACCCGGTGGTCTATCTATCTTGATGTCATACTCATAATACCTTGATGTCATTTATTCACAGCTTAGAGCTGTTGTGGCTAAATCAGGCTTTATTCCAGCTCTTGTATTCAAACTCAATCAGAAAATTAATATTTTTTACCTACTGCAATTGAATAAAATGTTCTTAAACTCATAATTAATCACATTAAAAATTGAGTGATAAATTTAAATATTTGAAAAAATGCATATGCTTTATGGACAAATTTGTAGTCTTTTGATTGTATAACTGTCGCAGTTTTAGAAATAATTTATTTACCTGAGATAGCCAAGCATTTAGATCTATAAAATAAGCTTTCAATAACCTCCTATTTAATTCATAATTAAAAATAGCATTATATTTTTAAAAGATATGGGTATAATAAAAATAACACAGTTTTTTATTTCGCATAATTTTTATATTATTAAAAATTATAGTCACGTTAAAACTAACTTACTGACTAAAAATATCCGATGAAATGATTTAAGCCATTCTATATCCATTATTTTCTTTCAAAGAAATTTATTTATCAATAAATAATAGTGTAGTTAAACGCAAACACTGTTTACAAAACACTTTCCTGCCTTTAACACTAAGTTTTTATTTGATTTTTTAAGTTCCTGCTTATGATAACTTTCTATTCACGTTTTATTTTGAAAATTAGCTCTGTTTTTTTTTTCTTCCTAATTGTGAACAGAGATGTCTAGGCTGACGTCACTTCATTTACGGGTCTACTGGAAATCAATGATCAATTAGTTATAGATTCAACCAATAGTAATATGTTTTTATTAGAACAGGAACTTTTAACTGAAAATCTGAATTGAATTTATTTTTGGTTAATTATTAAACATGTCTCGTTGTTTCTGTTCGGAATATTTTTCAGTAATTATAGATTTTACAAAAATAAATAAACAAATTCAAAAAATGAAAGAATTTCAAGATTTGGTAAAGTGCAGAATTTAAAAACATATTAAACAATAATTACGACTGAATATTTTAAGGTTATTTGTATTATAGACAGAAATTTGTTGTACAAATATATTCCACGTTGCATATCAAAGAAGTATTATACTTTGTTAACAGCAAAACAACATAGATTCTCTCCATTTTTCAAAATTTCATTTTCGGAATAAAATTCTTCATAGAGTTCTCTATTAAAATTGCTTAATAAGCAGGGCTGAAAGCCCATATATATCAAGACGGAACAGAGTAAAAACTGGTGACAAATAAATTTCATTTTTTAGTTTTTTTCGGGAATAATAAAATACTCGTAATTATCAATTTTTTTTTAACGGATACAATTTATATATTGAATTGCTTCTTCCCCGAGAATCAATTAATTTCAGTGAATTGTTTATTGTTAAGAATAGATTTACTCCTCTCGTAAATTATCTATTATTGAAATAGTTCTACTACCAGTATTTTCTCTTTTCCGTCTCGCTTCCAGGCCTGTTTATAAACGCCAACTGTAATTACCGCCAAAGTTATAAGCAAGTTCTAATAATGTTAAATTATCTGCTCAATCTGTATTCATTACTTGGTACCCGATAAATCGTAAAGAAATTCCAAGTTAAGAAATTTCAGTTCTTTCGATTTTGAAAGGTACTTTAAGTTTCAAAAAGAAATGAAATTTTTTCGTTTACAAATTGACGAAACAGAGCATTATTCTAATTTCTCTCGCTAACACTACAGTTAAATAAAAAATTACGTTGTCAAAATACAAATTTAAAGTTGTCGATCATGGGGTGGCGAATGAAATTATCGCTAAGCCGGCTGAAAAATGATGTAACCCTAAAGTAAAACGACTAAAACCGCGGAACGTTTCTTGCAGTGTGGCTGCGAGTACGGAAAAAAAGTTAACTTAGTTTTGTTTTCTACCAAGAGTGTGTTGTTTCTTTTAAGAACAAAGTGCTCATTTAATGAAATCTTTGGACGATCTAATATGGATATATATATATATATATAACATGGAATAACATAGAATTTGAAACATAAGATAGAATAAACGCAAATGTTCTCTTCAGGATGCATTCCTTTCTTTTGGAAATTTTAATTTCAGTTTTTTAAGTTTTCCAAGGACGCTGATCAGCTTTCAGAAAGTATTCCCTAATTTAGCACGAAAACTTCGATATAAAAGAAAATAAACAAATTGATTCATTCTCTTGTGTAAATAACATTGAAAAAAATTAAAAATAATCACATTTTCAAAAATTAAGGATTTTTTGTCATTAGTCACAAAGATTAAAAAAGATATCACTATATAAATGAAAAATATGTTATAATGAACTTAAAAAAGTTAACATTAGCATGATAATATAAAAAAACTTAAAAAAGCTATTTATCACGGAGAATGCTATGGTTAAATGAGTGTCTGCCATTCATTTTATAAACGCATAGAAAAATTATTTTAACTTCAAAATGTGGAATGCAATTTTGCATACATTAATTGTGTATATTTTATATTTGCAAATCGGTGGCATTGTATTCTTATCTCTCGAACGTTGGCCAGAAATAAAAATTGGGGAAGGAAACCTAACAAATAATACTTGCTACAATTTTTCTAGTAAGTAAAACATTTATAAACTTTTGTCATAGCAGCATGTGAAAAAAATTAAAAAAATAAAAACTGCATCCTATTTTTGCTTAAAGAGCAGACAACTTCAAATCATAGGTGAAAGAAAATCGGAAATTGTTTTACTTCCCACAATTTTGTGGGAAAGCACAATATTTTGAGTTACAAGGCATGTTAACAATTTATGTAATCAGATTCTGTTCTAAAACTAAAAATTTTTAGTTTTTAAAGTAAAGTAAATGATATGACTTGGCTAAATCCTTGTATCAGTTACATGGTGGATTTATCGACGTCGGCGACATTTGGGAGGCCAATAATGTATGCAATCCGTAGCTGTAGATTTGGTGGGTTTTCTACGTAAATGTGTACCCAGGGAAGACAACAGCGCAAAATATTTTTAAAAGTGATTGAGAAATCAAAACTAAAATTAATTAATTAAGAAATTTTTTAAAAATTAATTAAGAAATTTTTTAAAAATTAATTAAGAAATTTTAGCTAATTTTGTTAACACTGATCAATCCGTGAAAGTGGGACAAAGTGGTAATATGTATGAGGGTCTGAACTATCTATATGCAGGGGTAGCCAAAATAACATCAAATCGAATTTGCATAAATAAGAATCATGCATCAAGACACAAACTTTGCTACCACTGGGGAAAAAAACTTTCCAGAAATCAGAGCAAGTTGGCAATTCTGAATACCACTTAAAAAGTCAAAAAGGCACAATGGTCCAGTGTTTAAAGGCATTGAGCTGTCATGTTGAAAGAATGGGGTTCGATCTCCAGAGGTGGCTTGTAACATACCCAATTTGAGATCGATAAGTACCAGCTTGTATGGGGAGTGAAAGTAACTTGTTCGCAATACTAATCACATTGTCAAGATCACGAAATTGTGGAATCCTAATTCCAAGACCCCAGGTACCCAATGAGCAGTTTCAGGAATGCTTTACTTCACATACCCTTAATACGCCGAGCCAAAATAAATCTTTTCGAGTCTTGGCGTCCTTCTTGCAATTAAAGTTGTTCCATGGCTCTCGACCCTTATTATATCATTATTAAGAGACAACATAACTAATTTATTTATACATAACTCTACTAGACAACATGACTAAAAAACTAATCCAAATTTTTGAAAAAGAAAAAAAATACTTCTTCATTATGTCAAAACACAATTATGTGCCGAGTTTCGTGCCTGGGCGAGGCTTCTGGGGCGATATATTGTGATTACAGACAGACAGACAGACAAACAGACACACACACAGCCGCATTTATTATTATGCATAGATATTTACAAATAACTTGTTATATAACTGTAAATAATGTAAAAAATATGAAAAATTAATTTTAAACAAATTTCATTACACATTAGTTATTCTTTCACAATCCAGTTACTTTGACTGCTTTTGGACAATATAGATATATATTAAGTTTCACTCTTTTTAGTGTTAATAACTTCGCAAATTTATTTTTATGGTATTTTAAGTTGTAGAAGTGTTAAGATGAAGTATGCGTGCATTAACAATTTCAAAAACGAGTTTCGACAATGCTACGCCGAGATAAAAACAAAATGTTTCAAATTTGCTTTTTGAGCATTTGACACAAAGCCTAAATATTGATATTCTAAATTATTGAAATGAAAATGTTACTGCAAAATAAAAACTTAAGACATTTTCTATTATATTTCAGGCCTGGAAAACATTCTGTTGCTGAAAAATTTTACGATCGAGGAAATTAGCACTGCAGTTGCGGCATGGGATTCTGGAATGAAACTTGTTATTTCCTCGCAAAATGAAACTTTAGAAAATCCTACTTGGACTTTCTTTAATGCTGCTGTATTTTCTTTCGACATTACAAGCAAAATAGGTAGTGTGTTGCTATATTATATATGTTTCTGTAAATGTCTTTTACAATGTTATATTTTGAGCTTTCCTGACATTTGTGTGTTTATGTTATGACAATACAGCAAAACTAGGTTGATATATGACGTAGGCTAATTAGAAAATCCTCCCTTTGTGAACTGCCGACGTTATCTGTTAGGCTTATTACATTGAATTTTGTTGGCGTATTACGAAGTAACCTCAGCTGCCTGCAAAGAGCCTAATTTTCAGATTAGCAGAAGACAGTTAAAAGTCATGGATATTTAACTCATCTCTAAAACAAGGCAAATATAAACTGATTTTACTACTGATCTGTTCCTCTGTCTGGTCCAGTACTCACAGGGGTTGATCAAAATAATAGAAATGCTTCTCAGTAGAGAAGCGTCTCCCTTATTTCAGTTAGTAAACTCAATGTAAACAATTTTTCCTTTAGTAGCAAATGTTTTGGAAAATTTTATATCGAAAAACTGTTGGCACAGTTTGAGAAATTGTGCTTGAAGCTTTTAAAAATGGTGTCTTTTTTAACCATACAAAACTTGCATCGAACAAAATGAACTCAGAAATATAAAATATGAGTTCCTTTTTCAATACAAATTTAATAGAAAAATTATTTTTTATAAATATTGGAATCAGGTAGAATGATTTCAAAATGGCTGGTATTAAAGCTAGATGGAAGTTAAGAACTTCTAACTCTCATTTTGGTCAATCCGAACTTTGAATGGGTGTAAAAATGACACCATTTCAAAAGCTTCAGGTATAATCTTTCAAATTGTGTCAACAGTTTTACCACGTAAAATCTTCCAAATCATTTGGTGCGAAAGGGGGAAAATTACATGGAGTTATTATAGAACCGCGATGGCTCAGGGGATAGAGAGTTCGCCTTCCAATACAGCGAACCGGGCTCAAATCCCAGTCAATATGAATTCCGCATCTGGCTTGCACCGACCACAGTGCTGACGAGAAATATCCTCAGTGGGAGACGGATGATGGGTTTGAGTCTCCTTGCCTTCAGGCTAACCGTGGGAGGTTCTCGTGGTCTTCCTCTCCATGTAACGTAAGTGCGAATTAACTTCATCAAAAAGTCCTCCACGAAGGAAAATTTCTCCCAATACTCGGTCTAGGAGTTCCCTTGTCTTCTGGATTGGGCTCAAAATTACAAGGATACGAAGTTGAACATTGGCATTCGGAACTCATAAAATTGGGTCGGCTGTTCAACGACGGTTATAAAATAAAATAAAATAGAGTTATTATAGAAGTGTTTCTATTATTTTGATCAACCCTTGAATAGTTCGTTACCTGAAGTGTCTGGTATCTAAGCTGAACGTTTCAAAATTTCTTAAGGAGAGTAGGATCAGAACTCGAAATCATGCAGCATCGCTGGTTCAGAAATGCTTTTTCTGGAGAGCTGATGGACAAAGAAATGTCCTACAGAAAAAGACAGCAGGTAATATTCATTTTAATGATAAAAGCAGAAAAAAAGGAATAAGGGTCAAAGAAAGTGTTCGAAGTTTCTTCCATCGACTGTAGTGCTGAATTTGCTTTTACGCATGGAATTCTGAATATTCTTGAACAATCCAGGCTCATCTCGAATTTCTCTGGCAAGTACTGCGATTCTTGCGACCAGCTTCTCAGCTTCAGGAAAGCACTTATCCTTCATTGCTCTGTCATATCGAGTCGTCAGTTTTTCTCCCTCTTAAGAATTATGAAACGTTATGGTAGAAATTTCTTGTAAGCCGCTTATAATTTGACTATAACGCTAGCATTCTTTCTTTCGACATTATCGAGATAAGTAGATTGAGTATGTATAAATTACAATCAAAATAGATATTTCAATTAGTATACATTTCTAAAGAACTTTACCTACTTATTTGTTTCAGAAAATATATATTTCTTAGAAAAGATATACTTGTCTATTTCTGCAAATATGACACAAATTACACTATATGTTTCTGTGCACATATGTATCTAAAGAAAAATATAGCTCCTCAGACATGAAAAAGAAACTTTAAGCACATCACATTTGAGAAGCGTGTATGTTTCTGATATTATGTGTTTCTGTAAGAAATTTTGGAGTAATTTTCAGTCGAGCTGAAAATTTTCTGCAGAAGAAAAGCAGCTTACGTCTCTTGTTTTAGATCGAACAAAAATACAATTAAAATCTCATTTTTAAGTTAACCTAGCCATTGAAATCAAAACCCATTGATATAAATTATTTATTTCAGTTTTGCTAATGTAAGATTGAAAATGGAAATTAATTATGAATACCGTTTCACATCGTCTACCGTAAACGTACGCATGTACTTAAGCTACTGGAGCATGCCCGAGAGCAGAAGTTTTTCAAAACTGCTCATGTTCATCAGTTACTTCAGAATAAACGTACGTTTATTCTGAGGAGGAGTGAAACGGTTGATAAATCTCTCTTGGAAGAAATTAAGGAGAAAGGAAAATTAAACTCTTGAAGTTTGTCTTTCATCTTGTAGAATTTTTACACACTTGTTGTTGTTGTTATTAAGCCAATCACTTCTGTTTGCAGGTTATGGGAATGTAGTTCCTGCAACGCTTATCGGCCAAATCATTTGCGTCATCTATGCATTTTTGGGCATTCCAATCAGCATTCTCTTCTGTGAGGCACTCGGAGATAGCTTCACCAATGCTTACGTGAAAACTATATGGTTAGTTCCAACAGATGAAACAGGTCTTGCAGGAAGAGCTTTGGCTGGATCAGCATTCTTTGCATTGTGGACTGTTGTCTTAATTGTTCTACCGTCAATAGTCTTTATGTTTACAGAAGAATGGAGTTTTTTGGATGGAATTTACTACACTGTTGTTACAGTAACTACTGTTGGAATTGGAGATTACATTGCAGGTTTGTTGGTCAAATTCATTTGAAAAGGAAATTCCTCATTGGCAAGTTTAATGCATAATATTTCGGTAATAAAGATAATAAGGAATAGCTAATCATAATTATTAATAGGGTAATATTTTAAGGAATAGCTTGTAATAAGCTGTTTCTCAGCTGCCAGCTTGTACGATCCTTGGATAAATTTTTAGAAAGTTATAAAAATATTTATCAAGATTTATACATTGAAAAAAATTTCCACAAACTTTTTCACGTTGTGGCACACTCTAAGAGATTTAAAATCATTTTACATCATTCTCGTCACTTAATATTTTTCTTCGGTACAATATTTATTTTGTGTATATAATGTATGTTATGTATATGCGTATGACTGCAACTCAGAAACAGAACAATGTGGGCAACTGCGCCAACGCGTAGGAACAACGCCAGATACCGGTAACACAGGTCACCAATTACCAAAGATACATTTAATTGCGTCAAATGCGACAGTATCATAACAATTAGTGACAACAATATATGTATATATATATATATATATATAAGTTAATTGAAAGTAACAACATAATTAGTAACTAGTGTGATGTAAACACATATTCTAATATATTGTATTTTTATGTAATAAAAACCATTAAACATTTGGAAGCCCGTAATAACGTTCAATTCGGTCGAATTAATATGATCTCGTTTATTAAAAGACGTTTTGTTCATTTTTTAAAATGCAATCGACTATAAACAATAAAATTATTAGTTAATAACAAATAACAATATAATTGTTATCGAGTATGATACAAAGAAATAATCTAAATCTTTGCGTTATTATATAAAAATATCTTTTTCAGTCGAAGTTTCAGTTCTAGTACTTTAAAGTAATAAGATCTTTTTGAATAAAAGACCTTTTGTTCATTTTTTTTTAAATACTATTGACAGTAAACAAAAAAATTATTAGCTAGTTAATGAAATAATTTCGTAAATTTATTAAACTGAGATTTTTGTAAATATTTCTTTACTTCCTGGAACTATAACTGTTATATTCTACGATTTTCAGTCAAACTATATTTATTCTTTTCTAAACATTTTATCTTTTAAAGAAAGTTCTAATAACACACACGCACACACATAACACTTAACTTATAGTACCATTTTGCAGGGCTATGGTATTTAACAGCCATAGTTGAAATGTCCCGTAGTTTTAGTGCCTGTAAGACGACGTGAACAGTGCCTGAATTGATTCCACTCTCCTCTAATTTCTACACCACAACCATCAAAAAGACTCTCAGCCGTGTCAGACGTGCACCTTGTTGCGTAAGTACGTTGTTTAGTCCCTGGATTAAACATGCGTCCTCCAGCTCTAGCAGTGTGGTAGACGTCTTTACTTATATATGTATACACAGTTCAGTCACATTAACGTGACTTTCGACGTCAACGTGATATAACCAATCACAGATGGCAGGTGGCAGTACATTCCAGTGGAGTGTATATAAAGGATGTCCTAGGGCATCGGAAAGTATTTCAATCGTTGGCGTAATGCAGAAACCGAGCGATTTATCCGACGTCCAAGAAGGCATGATTATTGGCTTTCGGGCCAAGGGTGGAAGCATTTCGGAAACGGCTAATTTTGTGAACTGTTCGCGTGCCGCCGTGGTAAAAGTATACCATGCATGGCAAAATGGCATTACCCAAAATCAGAGGCGTGGCACATGCGGTGCACCACGGACTATAGATGACAGAGGTGAACGAAGGCTACGGAGATGCGTTCGGGTGAATAGACGTGCAACTNCGTTGCGCATAAGCACATAATATTTTACACTCTGGTTATTTCAGTTTCCATTTTTAAAAGCGCTATATGTTGAGCCACCTCACCATGTGACATTCTTAGCCGCAATGATTGGTCGATTTTCTAGCGTTGCCATTCGGGGAGTTGTAATGAGGCTTTTTTTTATCGCCGTGTAAGAGAAATATATATATAGATACTAGAAAGCAAAAGAAATGGAGTAAAGATATTTATTTCTCCAGAAGAACCGTAAGAAATTGTCACACTATCATTGACGAAAATGATGCTTAATTACGCCAATTATGGTTAATTAATAAAATATACATTAACTGAAATTTTAAAAAAAGTAACTTCTGAACTAAAAGGCAAAGATAGGTAGAAAAGATACTTATTCGTGATTTGGGAAACCGTTAAAAAAATCTGCATATTATTATTGACACTAAAATGCTCAATTAATATTAATAATGTGTATTAATTGAAATGAAATAAAATAAGCCATGTGCTAAAAAGCCAAGCTCGTGGAGGAAACATTAAGGGTAAATTCGTTTAAGAAAATCGTAAAAAATTGTCATTCACAGATGACACTTAATTAATATGTATCACTGACGTTAATATGTACTACTGGTATTATCGTCATTGGCGAATTGGTTTTGATAAGAATTCAACAACAAGTTTCCCTTAGTTTCAGAAAATATTTTTTCCAGTGGTACTTGAGATAGTGTATTAATATTTTAAAGAATTAGAATTAAAAGAAAGTTTTTCCACCTGTGTTTATTTTTCTCGAAAAAAAGGCTAGATCAAAATGACTTTCGCACCAGTTTTTGCACCTTTCTGCTTTGATATATATAGGCTTTCAGCACTGTTTGGAAGTAATTTTTTCTCTTGAATAAACAACTCGTGTAAAGAATGCAAGGAAAGTTGTCTTGTTATGAGTATTATTCTACAAAACTAAAGTGTCGCCATAGGTCGTGAGTTTCTTTCGCCGATAGCTTAAAATGAGAGTTGTCCATTTGTCTGGGCTATTCTCAATAGGTTTTTAGAAACCCATTATTAAAGGGATGACTATTCAGTTCTTATTTTTTTATTCAAAAAATGATTATTAACTTACAAAATTTATTCAAATTAGACTGCAAAAATTAATAGTTTTAAATTTGCAAAAATAAAAAAAAATTTCAGGAGGAAACCTCCAGAATAGCAATATTTATATTGCATATAAGCTCATTCTCGTTTGCTGGATGATCTATGGATTGGCTTTCTATTTAGTTGTGGTTAATATGATGGCACGATTTTATAGCAGACACTTTCTTTACACCATACATCTTAACTGGGCTGATCAGAAACTTGAGTTTCGAAAGGAAAACATTGAAAACCTAGATTTTCAGGTAACTTTGTTTTTGCAATCTGTATGGAAATATCTCTTTCATACCGATTTATCAACTATTATTATTTATAAGTTAATGTTCACCATTTTTTTTCTTGAAATTGAATACACCTTTTATGGGTAAGTAATGAAAAAGAATGCATAAATATCATCAAATTTTTTTAGTGGACTGAGACGGATAAAATGATTTTATTTTTGTCTCACCTAATAAGAAAAATAAGAAGAGCGGCATTGTTGAAAAACTTGTGGGTTGGGGTAAAAATTTATAGCAAAAAGAATTTGTCTCACGTTTTTCCTCTTAAATAAGACAAAAAGTAAAATGTCTTAGACATTTCGGTCAACTTAAAGAAGCTTAGTTTTTTTTTTAAATATTCTAAGTATCTCTTTTTTAAATTTCATTTAAGCATCATTTTATTTTATTTTAATGTAGGAATGAAGTTAGCCAGTGTTAATATCCCCTCGTTTTACATACTTTGATAGATAAGATTTAGTAAGGCAATTTTAGTTAATCTTTTGCAGTCCGAAATCCTCTGGAATGACATCTACAGTCACCACTCTGAAAAATAAAATATCTTAATAGTTAGCCCGGTAACAGAACGTTCCGTGGGGTCTTCTTCGTCTGAACAATATTTCCAACCAAACACTGTACGAAGCGTAAAGGTGGCAGGTTCGAATCCTGCCGTAACCCTTGGATGAGCGAGGTCCTTCTTTGAATTATTCTATCTGTCCTTCAAGTTGACAAATATGCTATAAATAAGGAACAATATAATAATATTTGTAAAATAACATTGACATTTATAATATAATCTTGACAAAGATAATATTTATAAGCCTAAATTGAGCATACAAGTCTGCAAATGTATGTAATTTCAATAAAGCAATGAATAGAATGCGCAGTGTAAAACTTCAGCACTGTCTTAAAAAATTTAAATTTGTCTGCGACTTTTAACACTATTAGGTAGAGATTATTATTGTTAAAATTAAACTCAATCTAACATACAGGGTGTTTATAAAGTCCCGGACCCATTTTGATGTTTAATAACTCATAAAATAATAAAGATAGATTAAAATTAATAACAAAAATGGTTAAATAGACTCAAAAAGTTTCATGACCCTTGTCAATGAACTTCCATGTGTGTCCCCTTCGTCGCACGGAGAAAATAAAGTCGATAGTCAATTTCACGCCAAGTAGCGGCAAGCATGTCGACATCCACAGAGTCTGTTGCGGTTGTAATTCTGGCTTTTAGGTCATCAATGTTCGACACGATCCTCCTGTAAACATTGTCCTTTATAAATCCCCATAGAAAAAAGTCCAGCGGCGTTATATCAGGTGATCTGGGTGGCCAAGGAATTGGAGCTCCTTGCGCAATCCATCTTCCTAGAAAATGGTCATTCAAAGAACTACGAACGATGATACCCACATATACCTTCGTATTCGATGATACCTTCGCATTTCCACAACTAGAAGAGCTTCAGCCACATGTCCTTTTGCAACAAGATGGTGCACCACCTCATTGGGGTATCATCGTTCGTAGTTCTTTGAGAGACCATTTTCCAGGAAGATGGATTGGGGGAGGGATGGATGAGGATGGATGAGGAGGTTCAAGTCCTTGGCCACCCAGATCACCTTATGTTCTTAATTTTAATCTATCTTTATTATTTTATGAGTTATTAAACATCAAAATGGGTCCGGGACTTTATAAACACCCTATATGTTAGTCACAATATGCTAATATAATACGTAATAAAATTATACGTAAAAAAGGAACTTTATATTATTCAAATTTATTTGAATTTTTTGCAGTCATTCTTAAGCTTTGATTAAAAAAGTAAAAAAACAGATGCTTATACTAAACCCAATAAAGAAATCAGAAAGAAAGATTTAGCTTGCCGATGATGGCACTAAAATTAAATCCTTTCATTTTAAAAGAAGAAATTAAAACAAAAGTAATTTATGCGTTTCTGATTTGCGCCTATTTAAAATTTCTTCAAATGTAATTCATTACCTTAATAAAACAGGTACTTAGCAGACAACTATAACGATAACCAGAAAAATGAAAGATAAGTATCTGTTTTCGGAATCAAGTTTAAAAGGAATCAAAACTCTTCCTTATTTTTCTTAAATGAAGGGGGGGGGGAATTTTTTTCGTTTTATCTTTAATTTTTACTTGTTTTCCAATTTTTCTTCATCATGACAATGCGAGCTCTCACACATCGACTCAAACAAAGGCATTTCTGACGGAGCGAAAGATCGAACTGATGGGTCATCCGCCGTACAGCCCTAATTTGGCACCCAATGACTTCTTCTTATTCCCACACATCAAAAATAAATTACGTGGATAACGATTTTCGACCCCCGAAGAAGCGGTTGATGCATTCAAAACGCATGTTTTGGAGTTACCTTAATCGGACTGGAAAAAGTGCTTTGAAAATTGGTTCAAACGCATGCAAAAGTGTATTGATCATCATGGAGAATATTTTGAAAAACAATAAAACCAATTTCGATCCTACATATTTGCTTTTTCATTATTAGGCCAGAAATATAAATAGCAACCCTCGTATGTTGTAGTATTGTATGACCTAGATTGAATACATAATAGTTTAAACAACGAGGAAATATGGTACCATTTATAAATACAGTGTATGAGCAACAATTTCTTACTTTTAACACTTTCATTATATTACATACTCAGAAGAAGAAAAAAATTTAAGTAAAGGAATATTTTAAGTCACCATATTGTAAATAAATAATTATTTCATTATATTTTACTTTTAAATGGTAACCATGACCGGGATTCGAACCCCCAACCCTCGGAACTTGCAATTTGTTGCTTTCTATCACTTAACCCTGCAGATTTCACTTGACCGCCCGACTTATAACAAACTTTAAGTAATTTCTCGCTATTTTTCAAAGGAACCATATATACGGCTACTTTACACATAGTGCATATCTTTACATTTTTTCCACCAGTAGAAATCTTCATCAATCAACCTGAAGTTTTTAATATTACACCTTCGGCAGTAATTGCTTCTTTTGTTAAGTTATAAAAGAAAGTTTCGAATACATAGTTCTTCTGTAAATTTAATAGAATAAATTAAATTAACTTGTAAAGACACTTATCCGAATTCCACAGTTTAAAAAAAAAAATTTATGGGAACCCACACTTTTATAAGGCAGATGTGTAAGGTGCTTGAATTTTCAAAGCTATAAAACTGCAAATTTGAATAATTAGTCAAGAGACATTCGAAATATTTTTATTTAGAACTGAAATTTCATTTTTTTTGCCAACAAAATTATTTTAAATATTGATTCTATCTCTCTTTATTCTGTGGAAATTTGGAAGCATTAAAAGTAAGATTCCCAAACCTCATCTTGTATCTAGCGACGACTTATTGTAAATTAGAATGAAAAGGGTAATAATGTCGTGCAGATTATCTTAAAGGATTAATTATTCGCAAATTTTGTTTAATGTATATTAGACTAAGCCGAAATTTTAGAATAATAATCTTTGTCTGACTAGACTTTGTAGTCGCAAATTGAATTTGTTTTGAAGATTGAATTTGCATTGGTGAAGGTAGTGGGGCATATTTGACTTCGTAAATTCTGTTACTGAACGAACACCTGTTGTTAAACTACAAAATTTTTTTTATATTTAATTTCATTTTATAATTATGTTATAGTGAATCACCAAAATCAGGAGAATGTCGACTTTCGCTGAGGAATGTCAACAATCACATTGTCGCTTTGGTGAATGTCCGAAATACTTGTTATATAAGATTTGATATTAATTTATTCAAAGATGTTATTATATTTTTTCGATATTTTAATATCTGCTGAGGTTATATTTAGAGAAACATCAATGTTGGAAGTACCTCTTAAAGGCATATTGAGCAAGGGCACTGGACCGTAAAAAGCATTGATGAAGGGTATACCGGACAAATGTATACTAGGCAATAGCACTTAACTAGATTTAGTATATATCTCGGACATTTACTAAAGCGGCTATGTGATTGTCAACATTCACCGGTGGATGTCAACAACCACCAATTTCGGTCATTCACAGTAACAATTACATATCCTCATCTTCAAAATGTGTGTATTTATGCAACCTATGTATTATTAGGATTGCAAACACGAAAATTAACATAAAACTACAAATATATTTCAAGTCAAAAACTTCATTTCCATATGTTTTGGGATTTGAAAAAGTTATACTATTTGAAAGGGTTCGTACTCATTGGGGAAAAAAATAAATAACTGGTATCAATTTTGTCATAAAAAAGCTGAAAATTTCTTGATGTTAGCTTTTACTGTCGAATCAAAATTGCAGACCTACCACCTTTGGATCTATATATATCTACTTAGAGAAAATAAAATATTCTGGTAGCTGCGAACATAATAATAGTAAAAAAAGTATATGAATATTACTGCCACTTTTTAATTTTTTCCAGGCACATTGTACGAACCCTCTTTGAGGAAGAAATATGAATTACTTTTATTGATAAACCATTAAAAAAGTAGTAAAAATTAAAATCACACCAACTTCTAAGAAAAACAAAATCAATTGGCCGAAAGGGTTTTATTATGTACAAAAAATTTTGGGCGCACAGTGCAACTCAGGATATATATGAATAAATAAGAATAAATAGGAATAAATAAGAATAAATAATAACATAAATCATCAACATATGTACAAACGTCTTCTTAGACTGTATGTCTTCTTAGACTGTAAAAAAATAATGAATTAATTATTAATTTTTATTATTACAGAGTAACTTAACTAATATTTATAGTAATAATTAACTATACTTTTTTCTAGTCTGTATTATTCTATTATGCGCTTTGTAAAAAATAAGTGAAAAAGCAAAGAATGGTTAAAAACTCCATCAATTCTTAACCCCAATGTATCATGGGATCGAACTTTTAAAGCCTTTAATTGCTCATTCAAACTCCTAATATTTGGATTTCGAATAATTCCATCAACCAGTGTGCTATCAGGAATCAGAGAAGTGCTGATATGAGTTAGACAATTATCACTACCTTTTTCTCCACAATAGTTTTTCGTGAAAATGGGTGATGCAGTTTTGGCTGATATGAAAACTAAAATCAAATTTACAGATCCAAGAATAAGAGAAGCCAGCTTTCTTATTCACGAAGAAAAAGGGAAGGATATTCAATACGTAAATCTAAATCCGTCAAATATGTTATGCAAGCATTTAAGATGTGATTTATATAATGAGTTATTGGATAAAAAGAAGTGCACAATCTTTAATTGAAAATTGTTATGATAATACGCATAATATGCTGTTTAAATGATATTGTTGTTATGAAAGAGGTTGTCACATTAACCTATTTTGTATTGAAACTGTTATTAACGGAGACAATTATAGGATATTTTATTTTATAACCGTTGAACAGTCGCCATAATTTTAGGTTTACGACTACTAATATTTAAATGCCGTAGTCTTGTAATTTTGAACCCAACGCAGAAGACAATGGAACTGATGGATCAAGTTTTGGGAGAAATTTTCCGTCGTGGAGGACTTTTTGATGGAACTAACCCGCATTTGTGTTACCTGGAGAGGAAAACCACAAAAAATTCGCACGGATAGCCTGATGGCAAGGAGACTCTAACCCATGATCCGTCTAGCCCTCAGGATATTTTATGTCATCTCAGTGGTCGGTACAAGCCAGATGCGTAATTCTTATCGACCAGCTTTCGCTGGGGTTCCAACCCTGTCCACCTCATTGGAAGGCGAGCGCTCTATCCCCTGAGCCATCACAGTTCAATTTTAGGATGTTAGCGATTCCCGAAACACAAAATTATGTGATATTTTAATTTATTAAAACAAATAACAATATGAAGGGGCATTTTAGTAATTTGTCTGCCTAGTCACTAACATATTTTCCTTCAATAGTTGCTGTAAGAAAAGTTTATTTGATTTAGAAGTTTGTCGTTACGAGTTAAGTTATAATTTCCATTCTGTTTCATTGTTCAATTAAGTTTCTTATGTAGGGTTTTAATTATAGTTTTCTTTTGCTCTTAATAAAATGCAGTTACAGAGGAAGCTAAAAAGAATGATCTATTTTATTGATGAAATTGAGGTAAGACTGATTAAACTTGCATGAAGTTAAATGTATTTCAAGTTTACCATTTTTCGGCATTTCCTCATTTTCAACCTAAAGGTTGAATCGCTTCTGATATCCGTAAAATTTGCCCTTGTTCTCGAAGAAGTTCCAATATTTCTCACCTTTTGGTTTTGGCAAGTGAGAGTAGAAATCGATCTTCTTTTTGATCATTCCTAAGAAAAAAGAAAAAAAACGGTCAAGGGTATTTGGAGCAATTTCTCCTTGTTATTATTTCAATGGTATAAATAAAAATCAAGTGATTAGTAATTGTATATATAAGTGTTATTCAGTGTTCATTAAGTGTAATTTTAGGATTTAAGCAAAAAATTATTCTTAATTTTTTTTAATAAAACTTTATCAGGTAACTATTTTAGGTACGATACAATATGCAATGCTTAGTAACGTTTAATCAACATAAAGAAAACATATCTTTCATGCTGTAAAGTAATTAAACTCCGAAAATCACATCATAGTCGCTAACAAATATGCGAAAAGCATAAACGCATTAGTGAGGGATTTATTTTAATAGAAATCGAGTGAATTAAAATATGTATTTTAAATTCAAAATTCTTTTTATCACTAAGGAAGGTTTGTGCAAAATGAAAGCTGATAAATGCTTTTTCAATCACAATTTCGATTTTACAAATCATTTCTTTAAATGATATGGTATTGCGCAAATTGTTTGTTGCGTGCACTCAATATAATTTTATATTGTATAAACAAATCAAACTATACATGTTTTTCTATGATGTTCTCACTTTTTACTATATAAATTACGCTAATAATTTATGTTCAAAAACGTCATGCTCACTAGTTCCGGTTCATCGCTTTTAGCAATCAATTTTTATTTACCTAATAAAGAATAAATAAAAGGAAAATTTTAAAACTGCGTTTTTCAAGGGATCTGATAAGATGAAAATAATTCTAATTTAGTCACACTGACAACGAAGAACGTAAAGGGCATCACTTTCGAAATACGTGAGGGGAATTTATTGTGGAGATGTATTTATTAAGGTGATGATACATAATAAATTTTTCTTTTTTAGTCGTGAAACCAAAATATATTTTAAAAAAAGCATTTTCTCGAAATTTTATTAGTTTTAATTATATTATCTTTAGATTTGTGTTTGTTGGTGAATTTCGATTGGCGATAAAAGATATATAAATTGTATCGCTGAGCTAACTTGCTTAGTAATCATTTAACTAACTTAATATGCTAACTTGCACAATTTACTTGACATCATCAGCTAACCTGTATTGTTATAAGGCACAGAGTTACAGTTGAAATTTATGCCCTCTTAATAATCTGCAGTTTATCAGAATTTAAATTGAAGATACATTCTTTTTGTCGATAATATCGCGATAAACTCTCCTTGTAGAGATCAGGAAATAATAGCAATTTGTATAGTCCCCCAATGCAGATCTTCAATACAAATTAGGGTGCTCTAGTTCATAAAAAAAACAGTTGGATTCTTGATTGAACATAATATTGTGATAAATTTTGTTAATGGTGGTTAAAAAAAAAGAAAGGAAAGAAAACGATTGCAATTTAAATTGTCTTCCAGCATATAGCTGCATCTCAAATTTTAATTGTTTTAGCTCTGAGGAAAAATTCAAAAATGCAAACTGCAAAAAAAAAAATTGTCGATAATAATACAATACATTTTACTTGCAGTAATCTGAAAACGATTCTGAATTGCGTTATTTTACTTCACCTATAGAAAGCTGAGTGCTATAGCTAATCGGGAAGTGGTCATACTTTTAGGTGCGTGATTCCTTTGCCACGGTTACGAAAGCAAGTTAATAAAAGCCCACTAAAGATATTCCAGAATTACTAAGATATATTATTATAGTTTTATACTAACTTAAACCAGTTTAAAAACTAAGCATATGAATACTATTGTTTTTGTAGGAATTAGCTGCGAAAATAAAAATCCAATGTGTGAAACATTAAACTACGAAATACGTAATAACCATCTGACTAAGGGTTGTTTGCAGCTTCTTTTCAGTTAGAGGAACCACTAGGTCAGAAGACTAACTTGACCTCTGGATTCACCTGCAGTCGTTGGCTGAGCAAAGTGGAACGGTCTTCACACATTGGGTGGATCACCCGTTCCGCCCAGGGAAAAGCTATTATCAATAATCAAATAAAACTTAATTGAAATTTTTTTAAATCCAAAACTTACTGTGGAAGGACAAATTCAACAGTACGCTGTCTTCGTTGTTGTTGTGACACAAAGCGAGATGGTATATTCCACTGTCACTCAATTTATGTTTTTTGAAGGTAATGGTGACAGTATCATTAGCGACAGCAACTTCAAACTTTTTCACTCTCTTTCCTTTACGGTAGAGTTTCACAGTTGAACCAGGAATGACGTCTGAAAAAGAGCAAAAATAATAAATACAATACTTAAATGATATTATTAACAACACAGGGTGTCTACGAATAATGTCTCCAGAATGAAATAAGAAGACCAAGTTTTGTTGCTTGTGACAAAACTGAAGGGATTGTATTTATTTCATACCAGAATGTGGGTGAAAAAAGCAATCTCTTAATGTTATCTTTCGAACATCGTAAAATAAAATCTCGTAAAAACATTTCTCGTGTAAATATTTTAATTACATTTTACAACTTAAGATACTTTTTTAGGGGATAAATAACAACATTTATCTCTCCTTTTTTTTATCGCATTAAAATTCCTAAAAAATCGTATAATACGTTTGTTTTCTTTAACTT